CTTTCAATGAGCGTGTGCGCAGGTTTGCAACATTCCGGGTGGTCTGCCCTCGATCCATCCTGGCTTTCACGAGTCGGAATTGTGTGAGGAGCTGACATATCCTGGAAAGATCTGTACACAGTCCCACCACTGAGCTCCTTCGGCAGGCAAGGCTACGTAGGTTGGGTCATGTAGCCCGAATGCCCAGCGACATAGGAGGCTAAACAGGGCACGACGCGGTGTAGAGACGAGATGGACTGATGTGGTACAGAAAGGATATGGAGCTGATTGAACTTGTCGATGACTGGTACCAGCAGTGTCAAGATCGGCCTCTGGAGGAGGTTCGTGAAGGATGCTGCTGGGCAGTTGGAGGCAGTCGCCCTCCAACAACAACGGAAGACAGGAGCGACGCTCACGACAACGAGCAGAGCGCCGGGCGTTTAAAGCGCAGAGAGTTGGCACAGTATGGAACACAATTGGTACACCTGCCAGCCATCTCATTTAGTCAATCCATGGCACATTCAGTCTGTTCCGTGACCTCCTTCCTGCGGGCCTTCAACACTTTACGTGGCCTCAAAGTGCACCGAGCATGGCACACGGGCTGTGGTGGGTGACGTCACTGCCATTAAGTTGCCAACTGCGGCAGTTGTTGTCGTGTCTCTCTGTGCGCCACAGTGTCTGAGTGTGTGTCTGTGTCTCCGTATCCCTGCGTTTCTTTTTGCATCTCCCTGCCTGTGTCTCTGCATGTATTTGTGCCTGTGTGTGTTTCCATGTCTCCGTGTCTGTGTGTATCTGTGAGTTAGTGTATCATGGGGAGTCATAATGCAGCGGTTAGCCCGCTGCGATACGGACTTGGCGACCCGAGTTCTATTCCCGCTCACGGCTAACACCAGTGACAATTATGTGACCGGTCATGGGGCTCCCCTAGGTCTACTCAGCCACTGGAGAGACAAAGGCGTGATGTTGACCACCCACCCCCTCGTGTGTCGTGCCGGCCTTCATTGGTGCTCGCTAACTGCACTTGCTCCAACGGGATATTCAGGCTATACGGGGCATCTTTCTTTTTTTGTCTTTGTATTCGTGTCTGCGTGTGTCTCTGTGTGTGTTTGTGTATCCGTATTTCTGTGTTCATTGCGTGTAGCATTGTGTATGTTTACCCAACTTCACATCGGCGACAGAGGGCATTGAGAGGGTCGGGGGAGGGGGCTGACGGCTGTCTGCTGCCAGACTCCGGCGCTCTGCCGTGGCTCAGCGGTCGCGATGGTTTAGCGAGCTTCTTGTGCGTGGCATTTGCATGGCTCATACTCCCTCGAGTCGAGTAGAACTTAAATCATGCTGTTCGCCTCTAAGGCCTCAACGAGGGCGAGCTCCACTATATTAAATAACTCATTCTATCTTATGCACTTCTATATAAACCTCGATCTCGGTTACGTTCTTGGGGTGATCGGCTGATTACTGTGGTGACCCTCTGGTTACGGAACACCCTACATGTGGAGATCAGGCTCTCAGACAGTGTTGTATCTTTAAGTTCCATATAAAAACCTATCCACTTAAAAATCGCGTTCCTAATGAGAATGATTCCTCTTTGGCTCTTATTTCAGCAACCGGATATCTCTTTCATGTTTCTTCTTTTAATTCATGATGCCATGAGAATTTTGTGAAAAGCGCCTTTGAAGAGGAATTTATTTATTGTATTGAGCCCAACTGTACAGCTTTTTTAAAATTACATATTCTATAATTTCACAGGATCGAGAGGTAACAACGGCTGGGAAATCCTTTTTCCAACAGACTATAGATCATGGCTTATGATGGTGAGCGTACAGGTCCGAGTGACACGTTCAGGTTGAGTGATGTTATTGTTTTTATGTTGATTGCGTGAATATTATCTCAGCCACCAGGTGGCTCAGGGAAAGAGCGAACGGCTCTGTCGGAAGGATGCAAGTTCAAACATTGGCTGTTACTGAGATTAAAGGAGTCAACGCGAGGCTGCACCCACATCTGGCGGACCCACCTCGGACACCCCCTCCGCAACTACCCCGGCCACCGCCGGTCCCACCTCGGTCTTCCACCGAACCCCCCCTGGACCCAACCCTACCCTGGACCCTCCCAGGACCGCCCCAGACCCACCCTGAATCCCCCTAGACCCAATCCAGATCCACCCCATACCCATCCCGGACCCCACCTGGACCCAACACAGGCCCCCTTAACTCATTTCGGACCCCCCCCACCACGACTCACCCTTGACTCTACCCGGACTGCCACCCCGGATTCCCACGACCCACCCTTGAGCCCACCTGGACCCCGGACCCACTGCAGACACTCTCCCATACCTCTAACCCTAACTTTATTTAATACGTGGTTAGTTGTTACCATCTGGTGGACATATGCAGTACTACACGTTTTTCAATACGTGGTTACGCCTGCCATCTGGTGGGCATGTGCAGTAACTACAAGTTGTTCAGGACGCGGTTACCTCTGCCATGTGGTGGATATCTTGCACTCTAGCCCAGCACATGGCGCCAGCAACGTTGCCGTTGTCAGGACTGATCCGCACATTCCCCACAGCGTTAATCGCTGACGCTGCGGCGTTCCGGAGTTCGCCTGAAGCACGGTTCGCCGCATTGAACCCGCGAAGACATCGCACGGTGTCACTGGAGACCCCTGACAGCTGCTCACCTGACGACAAGATGGCAAAGTCCTGCCTGGGAGGCTGTAGGTGGTGAAGAGAAGCCCTTCTTGTGAGTGCTGGCGCGTTTGTTGTCTCTGCAGATTTCCCAAATGTGGAGTTGGTCGAGTCTCCAGGTATGGGGGGCCAGTCGGAGGGAGGCCCAAGGGGGACATCCCTCCCATTTGCCACCAGCTGCCGTCCCCCGCCCGCAGGGCTCACGGCTCCTGTGCGCTCAGGAGAAGGGATGGATGTTTCCCAAGGCAGGAGATGACCTCGGGGTCATCTTTAACTCCTCCCTCTCCAACCACATCTCTGCTACTACCCGCACTTGCCACTTTCACATATTCGATATTCGCAAAATCCGTCCCCTCATATAACGTTTTACCGTAGTTTGTTCTTGTATCTCTATTTACTTGCTGAGCGCCCATACTGGACATCCATGAAAATGTGTTTCATAGCACATCGGATTCCTACAGTCTGAATAAAGACTGTGATTCTATCTGCTGCTAAACCCCTGGTTCACTGCCTTGTTTTCACTCGCCTTCACTAGTGCAATTTTATTCTCGGCCTTCCTGCCTACGCATTCACTCCTCTCCAACAGATACACAATGTCTCATCCCGTATCAATGTTAACCTTCCCCACAATTCCCACACTTCTGCTCTACTTTCCCAACTCCACTGGCTCCCTGTCTACTATATTTCTCACTCTCGTCTATAATTACCTCCATGGTCTTGCCCCCCACCTAATCGTGGCTCTCCCATGGTTTACTGCGTCGCATCTCGCCCTTCACGCTCCCAATCTCCAGCTCCTTCCCTGTGCCTTCCTCGCCCTGCGCCCACTCTCGCTCTCGTTCCTTTTCCCTTCTTGCTCCCCTTCACTGAAACCAACTCCCATTGCACATAAACCAATCATCTTCACTAACCTGCGTCCGTTCCTCCCTTAAAACCCATCTCTCCTCCCTTGCCCATCATACTGCTACTCCCTGCCCTCCAGCTACAACCAGGCCTACCCCAAACCCTCCTTAAGCCATCCCACCTGTCCTCCTGTCACCATAACTACACCACCACTTTCAATAACCCCACTCTTTATTTGAACCACTGTACTCGTATGTAAGATGTTGTAATTATGGTAAAGCGCCTTGGGCTAAGGCGCTATGTAAATCTGTAAAAGATAAGATGCAGGCACGGACGACGTGTTGGATAGACGCCGCTGCAGCTTCGTCGAGTCGGCAGGCGGCTCCGCTGGCGGGGCAACTTGCGACGCCTCTGCAGGAGTGGCGAGCGGGCGCCTGGCAGGAGCCTCCGTCGCGCGAGCAAGGCCACGGGCCACGACAGCTCACCGGTTTACCAACCCTGCTTTGTGCAAGCTTTGCGTGGCGTAACAGCGACACATCTTTCATTACTCCAGGACAACTTCATGTGTTGAGGACACCCTACCTGCTGCTATGCAGGTGTGTCAGGAGGTTTGACAAATCTGGGAGACATTACCAGTGCCCCTTGTGTGAGCAAGTGATTTCAGAAGCACTTGCACGATGCCATCTCCTGGGGACTTTCTAACTCAGGCTGGTGCACTGTTTATCAGCTGAAAGGGCGTTACAACAACACAAATCTTCGTTGCCATTACGTTTAAAGCACCAATGGATTATACAGCGATGCGCGCTGCAGCCCTCACCCGGTCCTGCGAGATTGCAGCACACTAACCCCCCCACCTTCTAGGCCGATAGCCGGGCCAGCCAGGAGCACCCCCCCCCCCCAACCCCATTAGAGCTCCAGCACAGAACGAGCAGCTTCCATAAGCCGGTGGCCTTTCCCACTGTGGCTTGCTGCTACACGTAGAAGCTAATTTTGGTTCTGCCACTCCCATCAGCTCTAAGCACACGGTATACAGGACAGGCCGTGGCACAAGCAGTGTTCATAAACCGAGTGATGCATACAACTGGGTACACAACACTCCACAATGCAATTATGAATTCTCAAATTGGAACATCTACGAGACCCAAGGAGCAAATCCTGCCCATTATACCATGCAGTGCACAGTAGGGCACATGCAATACCACGAGCACTCCAATGAAGCTGTGCAAGAAAATTCCTCTACAAAGCGTAATCCAATTCATTACGCGAGTTATTTATGTGATGGAGTACCTGACGACCTAATGGGGAGGTGTGGTATATACGTCTATCATGGAGACGGCTTAATTAGCGGAGTAACAACAGATGTAGTGCTTTACCTGAAACTCGGCACCACAGTAAAAAAACTCGCTTTACGCATTGTAACCATAATGATCTGTCAGATATTAATAATTAGGATTTTATTGAACCGTCAGTATATTTACATTTTAACTCATGTCACCATTTTTATCATTTGACCTGGTCTAAAAGTAAAGGCAAAAGGCAAACAATTATTATTCTGGGACTCCAAAGTTCATATATATACTCAAAATTACTTAAGATGTAAGCACCGAATTATATTTTAAAAATATATCAAAGGCATTCCGAGGAGACTGCAAATTGACAATATTTCAAGACTTCACTGCAATTACGTAATTTACTCAAAGCTAATATCTGACTGAATGAGGCCTACACTTAGCTGCATGCATTCTAATAATCAGAGAAGTATATGAATAAAGTGAACGTTTTGAAAGTTGTTTCTTACTTACACATTTACCCACACACATCCTAACCACTCCTACTCTGCATCACCACACAGATCCACATCCAGTAACTGCAGGGATCGTCTCACACTCCCTCAATCTGAATTGTCCTCCTGCTTCATATGGCCTCCATCGACCCGGGGGTTGGGGCCTGGAGTCGAATCTTCAGATTTCACCTCCATTCCTGGCCACGTTATAAAGTTGGAATTTTCTTCTGGTTCTTGTTTCATTGCAGCATTTCGACTTTCTTCTAACTGCAAAGCGTCGGTTCGCTCTCCATCAGAGCCCAAACCCTCCTCCTGCTTCATGCTACCTCCATTTATATGGAGGTCTGGTCCTGGAATCAAATCTTCATATTCCACCTTCACTCCTGGCCAAGTTGCAAAGCTGGTATTTACTTCTGGTTCTTTTTTCACAAGGGACGAGCTCCTTGCAGAACGTTCACATTTCAATTTCACCTTCCTCTCCTTGTGTATCTTCTGATGCTTATTTCGGACTGATGACCGTACAAATGCCCTCCCACACACAGTGCATTTGAATGGCTTTTCACCTGTGTGTGTTCTCTGGTGATTACATAGATGTGATGAACGTGCAAATGCCTTCCCACACACAGTGCACTTGAAGGCCCTCTCTCCTGTGTGTGTTATCTGGTGATTGTGAAGATGTGATGACCGTGCAAATGCCTTCCCACACAAAGTGCACTTCAATGGCTTCTCGCCCGAGTGTGTTTTCTGGTGTCTGCGAAGATGTGATGACAATGTAAAAGCCTTCCCACACAAAGTGCAAATGAAGGGTTTTTCGCCAGTGTGTGTTTTCTCGTGCCTGCAAAGATGTTCTGACAATGTAAACGCCTTTCCACACACGGTGCACTTGAAGGGCTTCTCGCCCGTGTGTGTTTTCTCGTGTCTGCGAAGGTGTGCTGACAACGTAAACGCCTTCTCACACACAGTACACTTGAAGGGTTTCTCACCCGTGTGTGTTCTCTGGTGATGGTTCATGTGTCCAAAGTGATCCGTGCTGTAGGAACATTGGTCACATTGGTGCCTTTTAGTGTCAGGCTCTGCAAAGAGTCTCTGCTCCATGTGGTGGATTCTGCACGAGCCGTGACTGAGGAATTGGAGGCAGCAGACAGAAAACAGCAACATCCACACAACCTACATCAGCATAAAGGCACAGACGCACACGAGTATGCACACATATAAATCAACAGCCTACTTTCGGCACGAAGTGGTGGTGTCACCACGGCGCTTTGCGCCAGGCTAGGTGTACGTTGAGGCTACGTAAAACGTTGAAGCTCTCGCTGGCAGGTCACGAGACGGACCCATGTGCCATGGGTTTCCTGAGATGACTGGTAGATGCACCACCTGTGCCCCAACTTGATTTGTTTAAGCCGCCTGGCGCTCCGCTCGTTATTGAGCGTCGCTCCTCTGTCCTCCGCTGTTGTTGGAGGGCGGCTGCCTCTTAACGTCACGCTATCAGTCATTCACCCAACCACACACTTACCTACTCGCTCACCCAAATATCCACCTTATAGTCTTCAACAGACTGTTGGGTCAAGTGCTGTTCGCGAATATCTAGGACTGGCACGGTGCACGAGATGGGTGTCCAACACTACGCACGGCCAAATGTATCTCCACAGTGCTGATGTTTACGCACTGCACTAGGTACTCATTTAAGACTGAATCGACATAGGGGAGGCCCAAGACCGGTTCATATATTCGTCACCTATGTTGTCCGTGAGCGAGAGTGGAACTTGGGTCGCCGGGTTCGTAGCGCAGTGCGCTAACCACTGCACGACCGCGTCACCACCCACGCACTCACTGACCCACTCATTTTTCACTCAATCGCCCACTCACCCAACACATACTCACACACCTAACTTTTCACTCACCCAACAACACACTCACCCAGTTATCCACCCAATCAAGACCTCGTTATTCATCAACAGTACACACCCCACTCAAGTGGGTGGACCATGATGATGTTCAATGCAATGTATATATTTATATACACTTCGTATTTAAATCACGTCTACGTATATAGACTATACATTTTTAGACAGGTCCGTACTGCGCATTCAAATAATACATACTTAAATACATAAAGTTTGTATGCATGTTAATTTGCGCTATACCAAATTAGACTTAGATTCTAATCTACTTATGAACACTACGTATTAAACCAAGTACACCTATTCACACTATCAATAATAGTTGCCTATACTAGTGCGTACTACGAAGTCTGATAGCGTTCTCATCAGCGCTCGGACGCGTGGGAGAATCTGGGACCGATCCCCTCGGCCCCTCGGCCCCCCGAGCGCGGGGCAAGGCGCGGGGCAAGGCGCGGGGCAAGGCGCGGGGCAAGGCGCGGGGCAAGGCGCGGGGCAAGGCGCGGGGCAAGGCGCGGGGCAAGGCGCGGGGCAAGGCGCGGGGCAAGGCGCGGGGCAAGGCGCGGGGCAAGGCGCCGCGACCCCGCGGACATCGCGCCCAAGGCGGGGAGCCCCGCCGGCTAAACGCGATGAAGACTTGACTCGGCAACACTCACATTGCAGAGCACAGGCGGGAATCGATTCTGGTGGCGGAGAATCCAACGCGAATCACGGATCGATCATTCTACCATTGAGTCTGAAGTTACCTGTGGATCGATTCAGTGAACGAACTTGCGAGCCTCATTCTGCGACAGCAGGAACAGCAGCGACGGCGCCCCACGTGGGGCGGGAGGCGACGCCTCTGAGCCGCACACTAATCAAAGATGACCGCCTTTTTATTTTAACAAAGCCTTAATTTTGTGTAGCTTTTCAGCAGACAGGATTAGGGTGATTATATGCTTGTGATCTATTTTATTAATGTAAAACGCTAGTAATTATCAAATGAAAATTCTAAATCCATGTTTGCCAAACACCTTTAATTTTCAAATAAGTACCGATCTAGAACCATGTGATTGTGTTTCTACTCATGAATACGCCCGTTTGATCTGCAGATAATCCAGCTCATCCTGGCATACACAGCTGCATAGGGCTGTGAATGAGGCCCACGCAATAACATCTCCAGCTTCCAGGAACATTAGGCGCGATGCTGGTCTAGCCATTGTCATCGGCACTGTCGGAACTTGGTGGTGACGCTTCTTTGTTTGCAGTGGCGGCTCGTGACATGTCCATTAGATGGGGCTGTTGTGAGTGACCTCTGAAAATATGGTGTTTAATATTCTTTGGGTCTTTCGGTAAGTCACGTAAGTTATTTCAACCTATCTACGTGACTTTACCGAAAGACCCAAATAATAATAATTACTTCAGTCACGAAAACTTAAAGTCAAGATTGATGGTGTTTTAATGAAGAAAAATCTCGTCATGCGATTGGCCTTCCCGTGAAAGTGATACATCTGTCTTAACTACCATCGGTATGCATTTATAAACAATGCGAAACAAAACAAATCACTCAAATGCTGTCCCCATGACCCACAAGTCCACACTAAACAACCCATTTGACTCTGCCAAGAGCCGTGAGCTGCTGTGCTTGCCCAGTGCCACCTCGCGTTGTGACATCGCCTCTCATCACAGCCACGGGCGCCTCTTTCACCGCCCTGAGTGGGTCTCAAACGGCGTGGCTGCAATGCGAGGCTCATCGCAACGAATAAAGAAGGGAGATCTCTCACTCGGACGCCTTCACAGCCACCCCGAAACCTCACCCACTGTGTTGTTGCAGCGGTTTTGAATATGAACAACTTAAAGTGTTATGTTCATTAAGTAATCCACGTTGAAAGAATCATATTTTAATTGTTTTAAACACAATGACAAAATTAGAGAAAAGTATTTTTATTAGAAAATAATTTCTCATCTCCAGCTGCTTGGTGGGGCAGCGCCCCAACAACGCCCCTAGTGGACGAACCCCGCCTGTTTGTTCGTCTTGTTGACAAAGCTAACATCATGGGACCTCCTTTGCCAGTACCAAAATGCAGTAGAACCTCTGGTCACGAACACTTCTGACCACGACGGCACGACCAAATCGGGTTCCGACTAAAAAATTCACAACATTTTTTAATCTGTATGAGAATAGGGTTTCCCCTTTTTCCTGGCAACAAAACAGGTGTTAAGATGTTAAAACACCAAACTGAGACCTTTTACAAGGAATCATGTTCAATCACGACAAAGCTAATATTTTTTTCCTGTCGGTCTTCCGTTGAAATTTTAAGTTAAGAGGAATGGCCATTTTGAGAGGTTGAAATTAATAGGTGAAGGTCGATGATTTACCTTTCACCACCTTTGACCTCAGCACTATAATGTATGGGCACAGCTGGGTTCGTGTCTTTTCCCGACACACAACCCGATCGTGCGTCCTGTGCGAGCTGACTGCCCGATGGCGTCACCCGCATCCCACCGCGTCGAGCCAGGTTCGTGCGCGCTGACGTCACGCGTCGCCCCCCCCCCGTCCCCGGCCGTGGGCAGCTGTCGCCGTGCAGTCCGAGACAAAGGGCTGGGGGGGGGCTGGGGGGGGGGCTGGGGGGGGGGCTGGGGGGGGGCTGGGGGGGGGCTGGGGGGGGGCTGGGGGGGGGGGCTGGGGGGGGCTGGGGGGGAGCTGGGGGGGGGCTGGGGGGGGGCTGGGGGGAGGGAGACACGGCCACGTACAAAGGACGAGCTGGTTCACTGCTAAACTACCACATTTTGATTTAAAGCTTTCGTGACCGCAGGGATTCATCTTCTTGGTTCTTTCGGTAAAGTCACGTAGAAGGGAAGTAATAAAATAATAAAAATAAAACCTAATAACATTCGATGTTAAGCTTTGTGATGCAGGGATTCATCTTCTTGGTCTTTCGGTGAAGTCAGTAGAAGGGAAGTAATAAATAAAAAAAAAAACTAAAAAATATTCTCACGACGTTTCGGCCACAACGCAAGCAGCCGTCCTCAGGTGAAAACCAGGTCCGTCGAGGCGATAGAGGCCGATGGGATGTTAAATAAATAATTTTATGGACAGACCAATTTAAGAAGCGGGCGTGTTGCCTGCCAATGTATTACGTTCCTTATATTCTCCACAACGACGATAATGATGATTGTGTTGCCATCATCCGCCATGGGGCAATCGACTTCTCAGTGAAAGCTTCCCGAAGCCACCGCCACCTCAAGATTCTGCGATGGAACAATCCCGTGGCTGATTTTATATATACACATCACATGCAAGCAGACCAATGACAAAGCAACATCGGACAATATAATCAACATCGCTCCTACCCCAACAGGCCGTGCGCCGCCACAATTATTAATATAATTATTCTGCGTCTGGGTGGAGCCAATAGACAAGCCAGCAACGTCAGAGCTGAGGAGGCAGAGACGAGAGAGAGGACACCGAGAGGAGGAGGAGGAGGGAGCTTGGATACACGGTGTGTACGCGTGCTCTGGCTGCAAAGCCGTGCCACCAGAATGGTGGATTGGCGTGACAATGGAGCCAGCCCCTGGGCGCTCCGATGGCTGCGTGTCACGCTCATTGCGTGTGCTGCTGCTGCTGTGATGGGCATCGTTGTGTTATGAATGAGTCATGCCTGCCGATGTTCTCTATTGTATTCGCGTGTCTATGTACTGTATTTTCATACATTGTGTTAATTTATGCTGTCGTGAGCCATGTATGTATGAGCTTATATATAAAACGGTGCATTAATTATATTGTAATTCAGCTGCCATGCACCGTGTGTTAATTTCCGTTCCATCGTCCGTGTGTTCATTCTGCTGTCTTAAACGTGCGTTCATATTGCCGCATGTACCACGCCCTGGATCAGTGCGATGAGAATGGACGGTGTGACTCGTGATGCACTGTCTGCTTCATCTTGTCAATGCTCGATGCTCGGGTTGTTAAAATAATTTAGTTTTTATTTTGCATGGGTTATTGTGCTATCGATGGACTGCATCTTTGTGCTATTGTTATAGTTCCGCCTTGTTCATTGTTTTGTTGATGGGCGGTGTCTTGTGAACGCTTTGTACTCGGGTCGTTAAAATCGTTCATTTTTTTTATTAACGGTAACCGCGTGAAATAATAACGGCAAAAAAAACCGGTTCGTCGTTTTAACCGTTTTTATATTGCTTCAAGAAACAATTGCTGAGCAAAGGCCCAAAACATCCAGCCAGAAACAAATAGCACTGTCACAATTATGCAATGTTATTATTGTACGAGTTCGGTGAATATAGACGATGGGAGGGAATTCCAAAGTGGAGCAGTGCGAGGAAATATGCAGCAAGAGAAATGTTGTAACCTGAAGTGTGGTGAGTGGTTGGGTGAGTATAGTAAGGCAGTGAATAGGTGCGTATACGTGTGTAGTGCCTTGTAACGTCACTCAGACGGACACCTACTTACACTTTATTAACCTAGTAGCGGGAAGTACCCAGCGTTGCCCGGGCGAAAAAGACACACACACATCGACTTACACAACAACAACAACCGCCATTCGCCACTAAGTGGCGGTGACGTCACCACGACGCTTGTTCCAATCGACTTACACACACATAGATACACACACACATCGCCTCACGCATATATGGGCTCACACACACATGGACTTACACAGACATCGACTTACACACACATGGACGTAAACACACACATCGACTCACACACATGGACTCACACACAAACATAGACTCACACACACACATCGACTCACACACACACATGGACTCACACACACACACATACATCGACGTATATACAAATATCAACTCACACCCATCGACTCAGTTACACACACACATCGACTTGCACACACACATGTATCGACTTACACACACAAATGGACTCACACACACAAATGGACTCACACACACAGATCGACTCACACACACATCGACTTACACACACACATGGACTTACACACAAACACATCGACAGACACACACATACATTGATCCATACACAGACACATCGACTTGCACACACACGTGTGCTTACAGACATATCGACTCAAACACACACATCGACTGGCACACATACATCGAGACACACACATCGACTTACACACACATCCACTGAGCCACACACACAGAATGACGCATCAACACACACATCGACTCACACACACATCGACTTAGACACATCGACTCACACATACATACATGGACTGACACACACACATGGACTCACATACACATATGGACTTACACACACAAACACAGCGACTGTCACACACACACATTGACGCGCACACACATCGACGCACACCCACACATCGACACACACGACGCACACACATATATGGACTCACACGCACACATGGACGTGTACACACACATTATGGCTTGTATATTTATTAAGTAAGTTTTTTAAATAATAGTTTCTCATCTTCGTGACTTTAGCGAAAGAAGCAAGCAAGAGGGGAAATGCAGGCGTGTGTTATAATTAAGAGCGAGGGCGATGGTGTTCCGCTATTTTTGTGCAAACATTTAGCGCTCACAAAAACGGTAAAGAAATGAAAGTCAACGAATAAAAAATCAACTTAGGGGCCGTCCATAAATGACGTCACGCACCTAGGGGGGTCAGACATTTGCGACGATGTGTGACGATGGGGAGGGGGGGATTTGAGAAATGTGACGTCACATCAAAATGCGCAACTTTAAATAAATATAGACAACACGTTCTACTTAATTAAATATACTTTTAAATAAATGTTTTCTCCTACAACATCAGAGTGCAGCGCCACATTAAATACGCACTACAATGACGAAAGTTGAAAGCGATTTAAAGCACGGTTTTTTTTGGGGGGGGGGGAGCTTTGTGACGTCATATTTGAGGGGGGTCTGACTTTTTGTGACGCCGTGTGACAAAGGGGGGGGGGGTCAAAAATCGTCCAAAATCGCGTGACGTCATTTATGGACGGCCCCTCATCTTACCTGTAGCTATGAGCAGATGCGCACCAATTAAGCATAATTGGCATGACGTCACTGCTCAACCCCCGTTCTGAGGGGGCAAGTGTAACTATGCTAGAATGAAGATTTAATAGCATTCAGTATATTTTTTAGTTTGGCACTCTGCAGTAAGTGATATTAGGGGGCGGCTTATGCCTCACGAATACATAAACAGGCTGTTATTCCCCTAAAAGTAGTTTTTGTGAGCAGGACAGTGATATTTAGAACTGTAGCTACACGCACAAGCACGGCGACTGTGATATAGACACATTGACGCACACACACATATATGTGGACTCACACGCACACATCGACGTACACACACACGTGACAACTTTTATATTTACTACGTACGTTTTTGTGAGCAGGACAGTGATATTTAGAAATGCATCTATTTTCAAAGAGAAAACGTCTGCATAAGTGTAATTCCCTCGCATAAAGACGTGGTCGCAATAATAGCCATTTGGAAAAAACAATTTTAAAGTATCACTTAGTAGTCGGGGAGAAAAATCGTATTACTTCGATTAACCAACATCAAACGTTGGTTAATCCCTATAATTTCATACTTAAGGACAGTAATGGTATTGAGTGAACAGCAATGGGAATAAATGTTTAAAGGGAGCTGCAAATGTGTGTGTTATCTTGTGCGCACACGAATGGGAATTGTACCCTCCCGCCTCCGAAGGCGTGTGAGTTGGACTTGTGAGCTCCTCACACAATCCAGCCTGGTTAAACCCAGGATGGATCGTAGGCAGGCCAGCCTAAATGTTTCCAACCGGCGAAGATGCTCCATTGACTCACACACACACATCGACTTTCTCACACACACACATCGACTTCTCACACACACATCGACGCACACACACTTATGGACTCACACACACACATGGACTTACACACACTCACATGGACTTACACACACACATCGACCCACACACACACACACATATTTGTAGTGAGTTCAATAGAGGCGCACACTCAACTTGGAGGCAACACTATTTATTAACACATAACAACCAACGTGAACACTATACATAAGGTGGTGACCACCGTTCCTAACCTCACTAATACTTGGGGAATATGAGACAGCGTGACCGAAGGCAGGTGATGGGCTGCCTGGTCACGAACGACGATCGGAGACTCGAGGACCGTTGATGGCATTTTCATCCCGGGAGCCACACCTTTCATTTATTTTTATTTTGTTTTATTTTGTATTTAATTTTATACCTACGTGACTTTACCCAAAGAACTAAAGAGTATGGATCATTGCAGTCACGAAAACTTAAGATCTAGATTTTCATCCCGGGGTTGAACAGCCCAGCTCTCTGGTCACACCCCATTTATAACTGCCGTGGCGTGGCCAGCTCCGCCCCAGGCCATGCCCCCCTTCTTGATCCTTCTTGAAGGTCCGGGCCCCCAACCACGTGACCCCAAAACTCCCCCCTTTGTCCCGTCACGTGTCCTGTTGGGTTCACGCAGAGTATCACGGCCTGACATGATCTCCGTGACACCCGCCTACAGCATCCATACCGAGCCAACAACACAGTAGTGACGTCATATGTCCCGATGCTCGTACAGTCCCGACACAGTAGTGACGTCGTATGTCACTACATCACCCCCCCCCCCCCCATGTAACATAGCCGGTTGTAATGTAAATGTGGAAAAATTGAAAGGTGTGCCACCCAACAAGCAACATCAATAATGGTGGCCTCACGCGCGAACCGCATCTCAACGACAGCAACTTTTCCATTACTAAGGCATCGATGCCCCCTTCATCCATCCGAGGTAGGCGGCCACGACTTGAGACAGAACAGCGCCAATTCCAGTGTTGCTAGCGTCCGTATCAAAGACGAACGGTAAGGAACAGTCGGGGTATTGGAGGGGAGGGGCGTTCACCAAGCCATCCCGGAGTGCAACAAATGCGGCCTCCTCCTCCCCCCGATGGAACTTCTGACCCCCTGCTGTCAGGGCATGGAGAGGTTTGGCGATAGTAGCGAACCTGGCGACAAAACAGAGGTAATAGGACGCAAAACCAATGAAATTCCGCACCTCCCCCACCGACGTGGGGGTTGGCTAAGAGGTTTTGTCTGGTTCCGTCGCTATCCCGTACTTACTGACTATGTGGCCAAGGTACCGAACTGATTTTTGGAGCAGGTGACACTTCTGCAGTTTAAATTTGATGTTCGTCGCACGCATCTTAAGAAAGACAGCACGCAACCGTTACAGATGTTTTTTAAATGTACGGCTAAAAACGATAACATTGTCCAGATAGATCAGGCATGAGTCCCACTGGAGGCCAGCCAGAAACAGTTCCATCAATCACTGGAACGTAGCCGGAGCGGAGTGAAGACCTATCGGGAGCCGATTAAATTCAAATAAGCCTTGTGGTGTACGAAAGGCTGTCTTGGGTTTAGAGGACTCATCTAGGAGCAATTGCCAAAATCCCGATAAGAGTTTAAGAGTCGAAAAATAATGTGCTCCTGCCAGAGCACCCAGGGAATCGTCCATTCGAGGAAGGGGGTACGCGTCAGCCACAGAGAGAAGCGCAAACTACCATCCTGCTTTTTAACAAGAACAATCAGGGCTCCCGTTGGGCTGGTGGACGGCGAGATAATATCAACCACCAGCCATGTGTGGTCTTTTTCTGTGGGGCTCAGCTGGTAGGGGTTTTGCCGACCGTATCGATGTGGTGACTCAAAAGGGTAGTGGCGGCCGATGTCAAATTTGCCTTTGCTAAACATGGAGAATTCACGCTAAAAGCGCCCTCAACTCCCTCCTTTGAGACTCGGACAATTCAGAATTTTCAGAACAAAGCGGATCCATCCACTTTTAATCGGAAACAAGTTTTGGCTCTATATTCGACGTGACCCCCACTCCACCAACGATGTTTCCCTCGCGAAGCATGGGCGACGCGTGGGCTAGCACAGTGACCTGCTGTATGGCAGACGTGTCCAACCCTGCATTGAGGACCTGAATGGACGGCTCCTGTCGCGAATGCACTGGTTTCGACGAGCATTCTAATTTCAACCCCCTCTATCATTCCGATAATAGCGGATGAACCCGCGGCCGTGGAAACCACTCTATGGGCCAACTCTGACCACTGACCTGGTCGGAGTGGCCAGTCGGCCTGAGCAAAATCCGAAACCTCATGCCCCGACACACGACGGGAATGAAAACCATCCGAACGCGATGAGTGAGGTGGATTCAGGGGCAGAGTGTGTGGTGTGTCGCGACTCACCTTGGGATATAGTGGAGTGGTGGACGGTCGGGCGGATGACGGCGGTGGTCCGGGGAGGCGTCGTCGCGGCACGCGGCAACCCGACGAGATGTGTCCCAGCAGGCCGCAGTTGTAGCACACGATGAGCGGTCTTCCGCCGTCGATATTGTTCATCCCGTCGCACCATGCCATCCTCCCGCCAGCTTCTGCCTTGGGCCGATGCGCAGGCTTGGACGGGCTCCGCGACTTCGGGTGTATCACAAGTCTCACGAGGCGTGATACATTCCGCCAACCCCTTATGTTGTTGCAAAAGCAGGTGTGCCCGGATGCATCCTGCAACTTTGAAAGAAGACAAATCATCTTCTTGGTTCTTTCGGTAAAGTCACGTTGAAGCACCAGTTGTCTTTCCGACAGACCTGTTCTTCACCTGAGGACGGCTGCTTGTGTTGTGGCTGAAACGTCGTGAGAATTATTTTATTATGTTTAATTTATTTTATTTAATTATTTCCCTTCTACGTGATTTTACCGAAAGAACCAAGAAGATGAATCCCTGCAGTCACGAAAGCTTTAAATCGAAAAGACAAATCATCTTCGTCGATGGATGGCAGGATGATGTTGAGGTCCTTCGCCAGCATCAGCAATCTTTCGAGGACCAGTGAGTCGACTCCATCATGGTCCATCTTCGGGAAGCCAGCCTTTGTTAGTGCCAACAATGCGCAGTGAACTTATGGCGCCATTTGGGCAAAGGCTTGCTGAAACGTGGCCCTCTCCGACGGCAGGATGGTGCAAAACGCCGTCAAGGCATCGCCAAGCGCGGCGAGTAGCGGTCTCAGCACCTCCGCCTCCATCCATCCTGCCAAGTCGCAGTTTGTCTGAAACTGGCGCTTCAAGGCCACCCAGTCGCCTCCCACGGCTAAACATTCTTTAACAAAAGGTAGACGTCGCCTGAGGGATGGAATCTCGACAGGCGAACTCGGCGTACTTTCGGCGGGCTCTCTGTCCCGCTCCGCGAACAAAATGGTGGCCGAGTGCATGGGCTGCGCCAAGGAGCTTTCCCGCTGGCGGGAAACGGCGACGGGAGGCTCGGTCCCGCGCAGCTCTGGTGCTCTCTCCACCGCTGGCTCTCCACGGTCGAACTCAGCGAACATCGTGGCCACGGCCTCGAGAAGTTCAGTAAGGCGGGCACGTAACGTGCGCCTCACTCCCTTATTCTGGGGTCGCCATCCCCCGGGGTTGTCTGGGGAATAAAGCCTTCATCGTCCTCGTTGTCCGAGAACGTCCTGGTATGTAGTATGTGTCACGTAAGCATAACCTAACTCGGCCTATTTTACCGACAAAATAACGTTTGGCTACTTCTGACACCAGTTGTAATGAGTTCAACTGAGTCGCAGATGTAGACTTGGAGGCAACACCTTTTATTTAGTTCCAACACACGGGTAACTTCCCCCTAACAGAATGACAATCCAAGCTGGTGACCACCCGGCTAACTACACTAGTCACTACATAACTGTTATTACGACCGGGACCGACGACTTCGGCCCAGGTCCACGTGTTGGAGACTCGTTGAACGGAGATCGTAGACGAAGGGTTTCTTCCAGGTTGAACAACAACCCTGGCCCCTCTCAAGACCCGGCTTATATTCTCTGTGGCCACATTCACCTTCCAGAATCCTCGGGAAGGATCTGGGTCCCAATAACGTGACCCCCCTAGCCCCCTCTTGGGGCCCTTCTGTCAACTTAACCGGTTACATGTCCTCCCGGGTCAACCAAAGTGCCATGGCCTCACACATCCTTATCCTTCGGTCGGCACCCACACACCCTGTCCTGTAGGGTCGGCACTGCACTTAAAGCGTGGTGTCTTCCAGCACTATTATTCAGCGCACAAAGTGCCCCTCTAGGGCCGGTACTCCACCCACAACATTGTGGTACCCGGCGATGTCGCTACACCACATACTGTGCCCCTCTAGGGCCGGTACTGCACCCACAGCATGGTGACATCCAGCGATGTCACTACATGTGTGTAGTACAGGACTTCGTCTCTGGGTATCAAGGATCACACGGAGACCAGATTCTGTTCAGGGCTGCCGCCGTTTATTCCTTCTCTCTCTCCACACTTCCCCTCATCGCGGACATTAGCTACCCCCGCACGTCCCTTCCTCTCCCTTACTCCCTCTCTCTCCAAGCTACCCCGCACGTCTTTGCTACAGCCCTCCTTTTCCGGCTCCCTACGGGACGTCTCCTCCAACTCTTCTCCCCGTCTCTATTCTGGTCCCCCGTTTTTATCCCCCTTCTTCGGGCTCCACCTTTTCCGTCCACCTTCCCACGCTTGCCCCTCGTTTGGTCCTCGCGGTACTCCTCTACACGTGTATAGTAAGGGCGTGAATGGGTGTGTGTTTTTTGACCTGCAATGTGGTGAGTTGAATGAATGAGTAAATGAGTAAGGGAGTGAATGGGTGAGGAGCGACGCTCACAATAACGAGCAGAGCACCGGGCAGCTAAAACGAAGATATTTGACAGGAGCACAGCTGGTGGATCTGCCAGTCAGCTCGGTCAACTCATCGCACCTGGGTCTGTTCCGTGACCTGCCAGTGAGCCTATGATACTTCACATGGACTCACAGTGCAGCTAGCCTGGCAAAAGCACCGTAGTGGCATCGCCGCCACTTAGTGGTGAACGGTGGTTGTTGTTGAATGGGTGAGTATGAGGAAGGCAGTGGTCGGTGAGTGAGTGTGTTGTTGTGACCTGCAGTGTGGCGAGTACTGGATCATCAGCCCGACTACTTTTCATTGAATTGTTTTGCGTTTTTTGACATGTACAATCTTTTAACTGTGTTGTCCTCCTTACCTTAGTGATCATCATGTCTGACAAGACTGACCTGAAAGCAGAACTGGAGCGAAAGAAACAGCGACTGGCACAAATTCGTGAAGAGAAGAGGAGGAAAGAGGAAGAACGCAAGCTGAAGGAGGTTGTGTGTGTGGGGTACCTAAGGTTCAATCCCATGATAGATGAGGGGTAAGGTATAAGTGCATCTCTGCAATTGCACTGCTGGTGGCAGGCCCTCTACTAGAGCAAACTAGAGTGGTATTCTATTTGGTCGACACTTCCACTCATACTGGTAGGTGGGCAGATGTGGGGGCGAATAACCCTGACTATTTGTGTCTGTATATTAGTGTCTTTTTGTGTATACGCCTGTGTGTACATGTGTATATGAGTATACAGTATGTTGTTTTTACTGCCATCACGAGAGATGGAATCGAACCGGCAACCTTTGGAATACAATTCCCATGTGCGGACCATGACAGCACTACAGTTCATTTGTTATTCGGAGGTCACAGGTTCGATTACATCTTCCGGCTGTTGACGCAATATCGTTGTTCTTCGGCCGCACCTCAGATTGGCACGGTTTGCTACATATGGTGCCAAAGAAGTTTAACTTTCATACATGTACACTTACTGTGTACACTCATATACAAATGCACACATACACTCATACACACTCATTGAAGCCACCAGCTTATTTGCAATGCACACCCTATGAGATGTTTAAATATTGTCTCTGCAGATAGACATGCAGAGCTGCAGATAGACCAAATCAGTGCTGCAGATAAATACAATGATGAAGAAAATATAAATCAGAGCAAAAACAACAATAAAAATCGGACCATTACAAACAAATAGAAATCGGAGCAGAGATGCCAAAAATAAATCTGATCCGAGACGACCAAATAGCAACAGTATTCCTACTTCAGCCATGTTTGTACTTTGTATAGCAGTCACAATTGTTCAGATTTGACAAAGAAATGGTAAAGAAAACAGAGCTTCTTCAATAACTAACACAGCCATGACAGCACATATTAGCTTGTTATACCCAGAAGATTAATGGATTTACCATGGGTAAGCAGTGACAGGAGTGGGACATAACGAGCCGAAACACCGTGGTGGGAGTGAAAACTTTAACCCGACTGTTCCAGAAGGAAACAGGGACACGTGTAGCGGCGGGTAGTTTATATTTCTAGAAAGTTTATATATATACAATTTGAAAGTGTCTGTCTGTCACACTTTGGATCTTCCAAACATACGTAAAATTGTGTAAAAGCTCTGTGAATTTACTATTCATATGAATGTGCTGAAATAGACACATTTGTAACGTATATTTATACATGTTCTGTCTTCAAAGTAGGTTATGGTTCAGATCTGCGTTCTGTAAAGTGTGTGTAATGCACTGATCTAGCGATGACTGAGCATTTATGAGTTCCCGCAGTAATTTATTTACATTTTCGTCACTGTGGATGAGAATATTATTGTTAAATATTATGGGAATAACTGTGCAATTGCCAGCCTTATGTGATATTTTCATATATCAATGTAAGCATGGAATATTCACTTCATAATCCATTTGACATGTTGCACATGACAGGCGGAAATGAAGAGAGAGACGGTATTTGATGAATCTGACCTGGAACGGAAGAGAAGGGAGACCGAGGCCCTACTTCACAGCATTGGCATCCCACCCGAACCCCCATTAGGTAAGCAGCCTATTGTATGCATGTATGTTGAACTTCTTTCGCACAGTACGTAACCAACCGTGCTTAATCGTAGGTACGAGGAAGGACAAAAAACTAAATTGAATTATATTGGAGATACATACCTGTTGAGACTTGTCTCCATTGATTTTATATTGATCCTAGAGAATCGTTGGCTGTGTCGGGTGGTGGCGGGTTTTAACGACACATTTATATTTACATGATCTAACCCCCCAAAAAATATTATTATGGAAGGGTTGGAGACAAAACTTGACATCATGGGGCCTGTTGAGAAATACATTTTAAAAATGGTTTCTGATAACCAGTTCTGAAATGGGCATATGATGAGTTACCTGGCTATGTGTTGTGTTGCCAGGCCTGCAGTTTTTGATCTATATGATTGGTAGGGTGATTGTTAATTTGTTCTATAATTATTATATCGTTTAGTATGTTGATTCATCCTGTATGGTACTCATCAGAAGTTCTTGCCTACACAGAAATCCTAGCACATGCATCAATAACATGGTGGCCTTCAAAGGAATGTAGATATACTAGATATCAGGATATATAAATCATTAATCTAGGTGAGAATAAATAAGAAGACAATACACATTCTTTATCAACCTGTCTCCGACCATAAAAAGTAAAAATATATATTTTACACATCCAATCGGCCACATGGCTTTCTGAGAGTATATAATTTCACCCCCATTGCTTTGGTACACAAGAAGGATTCTGGAGTGGTTCCAACATTGAGTGTCTAATCAACATAGTCTGGCTCGCATGAACTAATGTTGGTGAAATACTAGATGTTTAGAAGTAAGGACCCTCTCTTAGATATGGATTCTAGTTCGACATAAAACTATATAACCCATTGCACAAACTAATGTTCAGAACATGCATTTATCCATTTACGTAATGCAGTAATTTTTTTCCATGAAGACTAAATGTATGTGTGTTTAACTTCTTTCGTGCTAATCAGAGGTGTGGGATGCTGACAATGTGTAACCTATTTTATACAAACATTTATTGGTTTGGGGTTGACACAGCCTATCATGATTTTGTGGGGAAGATAAACAGTGGTGTCTGATAAGAGACCCACCCCTGGTATAGGAACATGGAATTTCCACCAGGCTCAGGGATTTAAATAGGAGATGAGTACCGCCTCAATGCTCACTTGAGCAGGAAATCACTTCGACATTTTTAACACAGCCGCTGAGCACAGACCTCTAATCACCGAAAGACAGTTTTTTGGGAGACGTTACCAGCATCCACCAAGGTCGTATTAGCTATTACGTCACGAATGTGACTTACGTCAGGAGGCCCCCCCCCCTGGTGCGGTCGGCCTGAAGGCCCCTGCGGGGAGGGGTCTTCTTGGCCAGCCTATGATGCTGTGCTACAGTTCCTAAGCAACGCTGATATCCATACCTTGGGAGGCCAGGCCGAATTGCCCCCTAGTAGCCCCACCATAGGGCACAAACATCTACTGTAACTGGGACCAACCAGCCAAGCTCTATATGTATAGCTTTATAGATCTCACCACATCTAGAGTGCTTAGATGCAAAAAGCACCAGCCATAAGGAAGGGAAGGTGCAGCTCCTACTGCAAATGAAACGAGGCCATCTTGGGCAGGCACTTGGGCGATATTCGTGATGCCACCTTGTCTGCTGAAAGTCGACAAAAGGGCCAGTGTAAAGGCCACCAAAAACAAAGTCTTCAAATTTATAAAAATCTATACCGCGGAGACCAACGGCTTAGATGATACATGAGAAAATAGCATTCAGTACTCGCCTGCTTCTACGGATTCACGACAGCAGGATGGTGAGGCTTCTTTCAGGTTATGTAAACACCAGTCCTGAGTTTTTTTGCATTGAACCTATACTGTTGAAATTATGTGCTCACAGAAACTCGTGTGTGTGGCCCATAAGATGTGAAAAATAAACGTATTTTCCACGTGGGGGACAGATATGGGAACGTGATGCATTGTTTGCTGATTTCGTGTGTTATTAATATCGTCAATAATTCTAATTATTAATTTGTGTTAAGTTTTACATTGAACTAAGACCCAAATCTAACATGGAGAGTCCGTGCCTTGGAACATTTGGCAGTTCACCATTGGCTCAAGCAAGCCAAATCAATAGCTTATACAATTTATATACAATTTAATTATACAATTTGTTTATTCAATTCACATCACACCCATTCCAACACACAAATAACATATACATACATTGTTAAATGATGTGTCATGCTTTTATAGCTAATACAGTTGCACATGTTGAGTGAGTTTCTTTTAATGATAGATTTAAGTAAGTTCAGACGAGTGGCATGTGTTCGTGTATCTGGAGATCGTTCCACGTGGAAGCAGGTCTGTGTGAAAGTGTACCAGTTTGGGTTTTACTCGAGGGACAGTTAAAAGACCAGAGTTATTATTGGAGTTTCAACTATACATACGTGCAGCTGACGGATGTGCAAATTGATGTGTTCTTGTAGTGTGTATGTCATTGCTTCATACATGTCTGTCTCAAGCATTAACCATCTTCCGTTGCTGTCATCATATCGTTTTGTCCAATTTATGTTGCTGTTTCTTCCCATGTTTTCATCGCTACTGCATGATTTGCCAGATGACCATTGGACTGATCATTACAGTGAGTGAATGTCTCTTGTTTAACATGTAGCTTTTCACATCCACGATTATGAATCGTAATACATTTTCGGGTTGGGCCACAATTATCTGGCCATATTTTAGTTGTACCCCCCCCCCACCTTACATAAGCAAACAAATTAAATTCCCACTTGTACAAGTGCCTAATGCTCTATTGTTTCAACTCGCCTGCAAGTTGAAAAACAATTCGCACAACAGAATTTAGAAATTATATACACGACGTCTCTAATTTAATTATTTCCACGATGTTTCTAAGGGAATTATATACATGACGTTTGTAACGAAGTCAATTATATACACGACGTTTCTAAGTGAATTATATACATGACGTTTCTAAGTGAATTAGAAACATGACATCTCTAACTAAGTCAATTATATACACGACGTTTCTAACTAAATTAGAAACATGACGGTTATAACTAAGTCAATTCATCAAGCATATTTGTATCATAAACAAGGACTTTGACAGTATGCCTGTTTGTGAAGCCAACATTATTGGCAAAGAGTAATTATGGAATCCATTGAGATGGAAGTAAAATTATTTATTATTGTGGAAAATATATAATTTAAGTGTGGCTTAGAAATATGATTGAGAAGTAGGTGATATATGTGAATAGTCTACTGTTATAACATGTCTAACACCTGCTACTGCCTCGTGAGTATTTATAATGAGAAGTACATATTATGCTAACCATTGGCCCGTATAATTTAGAATTAACTTAGAATACATTAATTTGCAATGATCAATGCATCGTATTGGTTGAAATGCTGTCATGACACCAATCTAAGAAGGTATGTCAGGTGACATGATAATTCTGACTTCCTGGTTTGTGATATGAAGATACTTAACACAGTTTGAAATGAAACGTTGAATCTCATTGTTAAATTTGGTGGCGAGAAATGTTCTTCAACTTACCGGTACAGTGAAACAATAATAGTTGGCACATTCAATTATTGCACACGTGATACTGTTATTTGTATTCCTGTGTCTGGTGGCAAAAGGTTTGATGACAAAAACTTGGCCAGATAATGGTGTGGCCTAACCCAAAATGTATATTATGAATTGTCATCTTTGTTGTTTTGTTATCAAGTGTGAAACTAGTTTAACTAGGGTTGTTAAATGACAACCCGTAGACTGGTAACCATTTTCAGGATTGATAACTGGTTCAGAAAGTCAGGAATCGCCAATCAATTCCAGTAGAAATTTTAGTCAGAAATGGACTGATTGGCTCGTGCAAATGTACAAACCACAAACAGGAAACATTAGCCCATTGAACGGTAAAGGTGCAGCTCTGTAATGACTTTCTTTCATTGCTGGCAGAATGGCCTCCACTAAAGGGAGCTCTAGTAGTTAGTTGATCTACTCTTCCACCCTGACCAGACATGTTCAACGAGGTGGGCTTACCCACACTTCACCCCACCACATGTGACAAGCAGATTAACTAATTGTGGTGAGCTTTTCCATTTATGCTGCTGGTTGGACAAGAGGAGGGGGATTTAGGTAAATTCCCCCATTGTTAAAACTGTCGTGCCAGGGGGTGGAGTCGAACCTGTGATCCCTGGACTGCTCGTGTCCTAGTCATTACACCACAGCAGCTCCATATGTTTCTTTATATTTTATGTTTATTGCTGTAGTAATTTCGATATGTCTGGCTTACCAGTAGCTATCGTTTTAGCGCTTTTTTCATGTGTTTACTGGTTATGCAAAACATACTAATTAACATAACCGCTCTGTGCTCCGTGCAATATGGTAATTACACCAATTTTCATGAGTGGTGTTGTGTAATGCTGCCTTTTTATGGTATAGATATGTGTTCAGGCATGTTAGTGGTTAGTTGGAAATGTAAAGAAAGATTCTTTGCAAATGTGGAAAATCATCTGTAAGTAACAACAAATAAGCATACAATATGCCTCCTTTCTGTATCCGTCCCCTCGTGAACATTTTTATTTATTTTTTACGCATCCCATCAGCGACACGACCTTCTGCGACTGCATAATATCAACATGCATCGTTGATACACCAGCAAACTCTGAACCGGTTTTGACATTCAGTGTTTTTTAAATTACCAGTCAGGCTTGCTTGAATCAATGCTAGTGAACTGCCAGATGTTTATAAACAAGGCCCCTCTCTTCATATGGCCCTAGATAGGCAAAACTCTATTTTCATGGTGAAGTATTTAAACAATTTAAAATTAATTTGATATTTGTTTTTTTTTCTTCCCTTATTTCTCTCCATTTTTCCATACTTTCATTTTTTCCCAAATCATTCCACGTATTTTTTTACCCATTCATTTGCACCCTATCATCAAATCATCATTAGGTCATCCACTAAGGGTCGTAACATGGGATACGTGTTTATTTCATTATTTAGTTCCACCTCCCATGTCACCTACCTCCTCCAAATCACTCAGCACTCCCAGCGAGGCAGGAAGTCAAGACTTTGGTGAGGTGCCACCTGGGGTCAGGTATGCAGATTTTGTGTCTTCCTCCATTTTGCCTGTTTACAGACCAGTGTAGAAATGGCCCACAATCCACGTTGATGTTATTTAGTTTTACAATGAATGGTTTTTAAAATGATTTTTAATAGGCAAAATGTTTTTCAAGAAATGTATTTAATTTAATACTCAATTATGTTTGTGCCTTTTTAAAGATTTCTTCTGCATGGAGAATATTTTTTCACAATTTTTATTGTATTGTATGTGCTCTGCTTTCTATTTTGATTGTTTATTTTCTTAATCCAACTTCTACTGATTAGATTTTTTCTCTGAATTCTATTTTACTGTTTTGGCTGCGATTTTAGTTTGGTTGTTTTTGCACTGATTTATGTTTGTTACATTTCGTTATGTGCAGGACACTTCAATGGGATACAGACCCTGCAGCGTTGCAGCTGCACACAGATTCTGAACTCAGGTATCAAGTCTATACCTAAGCTTTACCCCACCACACATGACCTGTTGATCATAGCCTGTGATGTACCCATTTATACTGCTGGGTGGATGGCGGTGGGGGGGATTTGAGAAACTTGACTGTTTCAACTTGGATAGTGCTTTTTGCTGCTGGCCATTTTACTTTTTGGTCCTTTGGGCCAGTGCTCAGCACACAAATATGTATGTATGTTGAACTTCTTTCGCACGGTAAGTAGCCAACCGTGTTTGCTGCCATTCGCCACTAAGCAGCGGTGACATGATGACTGCTTGTGCCATGCTAGGTACACCGTGAGACCACGTGAAGTAAGGAATGCTCACTGGCAGGAGGACAGACTCAGTTGTAATGGGTTGGCTGACAGAGATCACTTTATCTCATCCCTTTGTCGCATCACATTCTCTTTCATCACTTTCGTTCTCTCTCTCGATGCACTCGTGTAGAGTTCCAGATGCAATTTGTGGGTAGCCAAAATCGCGCATAGGAAGTTCGTGATTAACGAGGGAATATTGTATACAACACCCTACTGTATACTATGCACTACATTGTACTTACAAACTACTGTACCCTAATGGACTGTAAACTACTTTAGTGTGTAGTACTTCACACATTAAATGTAAAAACATGGCACACATAAACACGCACACAAATACACAAACACATGTGTTAGCAAACCAGCATATATATACATACACACGTGCACATAAATATACACATGTTAGCCAACAAACCCATGCTAACACACGCTAACAAACGTGCCAATAAACGCTAGCAAAAACTAACAAATGTTAAAAACGCTTAGAAAACTATAAATCGCTAAGAACTAACGAAGGGCTATACACACACACCTTAATACAGTGACAGATATGCACAGTCACATAAACACAAATAACAATGGCCACCATTCTCCACGCAGTTTAAGACTTTATGGACTACCCAAGACTTTATGAACTACCAAAAATTCACAAACCTAAAGTCCCATTGAGACCCATAGTTAGTACAATAGGCTCTGCCACATACAAATTAGCACAATACGTAACGAAACAAATACAGCCCTACATCGGTAGGACCTTTTCGTTCATCAAAAACTCTGAACATCTCGTAAATATAATTAAAGATGATAATTGGTTCTTTACCCTTCTATCTGGCAACAAAACTGACACCTTTTTGCAAGGAGTCATGTTTGCATAGACCGCAATACCTGCAGTCATAATACAAACAAAAGAACATAACTCTGATAATGTGCACTGTCCTTGAAGTTGATTGGTCCACACCCGAGACAGCTTTCCTTAGAGCCTAGTCTCATATGGGTTGGACCAGATGATGCCAAAAGGCGCACAACTCAAGGACAATGCACCATCAGAGTATGAGAGCTCGGGGCAAGCATCTACACTATGGGGACCTCATTTGCCAGTAAAATATGATAATTGGTTCTTTACCCTTCTATCTGGCAACAAAACTGACACCTTTTTGCAAGGAGTCATGTTTGCATAGACCGCAATACCTGCAGTCATAATACAAACAATAGAACATAACTCTATAATTAAAGATATTAAGCTTAACCCGAATGATATTCTCGTAAGTCTTAATGTGACTTCTCTGTTCACGAGGGTTCCGGTCAACGAGTCAATTAAATTACTCGACACTGGTAATGAACAAAGGTTTAGCCAAAGATATCCCAAGACTAGCTGAACACTGTCTAAAGAACACCTACTTCTTGTGGCAAGGTGACTTCTATAAACAAAAGGAAGGAGCAGCAATGGGCTCTCCTTTGTCTCTCGTGATAGAGAATTTGTACATGGAAGATTTTGAAACAAAAGCAATAGCTTCAAGCACACTAAAACGATCTGCTTGGTTTAGATATGTGGATGACACATTGGTGATGTAGCCACACGGAAAAGATACACTGAACGCTTTTCTAAATCATCTCATCTCGCAAAACCCATCCATCCAGTTCACCATGAAAGTGGAAACTGATAGATTCCAGTGATAAAATATTTTCTGTAAATTACTCATTTCAATTACACATTGCAACATCGTCGCAACTGACAAACGACTGTAGACTCTCTGTGAAATACCTCCGATTAGCACAGTTGGCTACGTACAGTGTGAAAGAAGTTGAACATACATACAGACATAATAACCTTCATGATAGCATTGCACTATACGAATGGCGCGAATACCAAATGTAATAAATACAGATATAGTTTTGTTTTAATGACTGCTATCTTCTGAGCTGTTTGGTGTCTTGCAGCCGCCGTGCAGTGAAGCTCAGCATGACCAAGGTATCTCACGTAGACTTGCCAGCCAGAGAGATGGTGTCATATGCCAAGGAAACACAGACCCCTGTCACAGCTCAGCAAACAGATGGTAAGGATATTATGAGGGAATGGCTTTTTTCCACCTCGACTGCAATGTAGCGTTGTACAGGAAAATCTTTCCAGACACGGGGGTTACGTTGCTAGGAAATATCACGTTGGGCAACATTGCGTTAGACAAATAATATACCTGATGGGAAAAATAGGGTTGCATTCCTGGACCCGAAATTATCACCGATTTTTTGTTTAACTAACTCTTTAGAATTCCCGCCAACTGTTATTGTACTAATGGATGTTGAGTAGCTCCATTTATTGTGTGTGTGTGCACTTTTTCCATTTCACAAAATCCCCGTCTCCATTACTCTTCCCGCACCACTTGCGCCAATCCTCGCCGATAACTTGAACGTTCGTGATTCGCATCTAGGCATCCGTGTAACTGACGTCCTTAATGTGTGGACGGCAAGACGCATGTGGCAATGTGTGTGATCCTTTGCAAAAAAAACATATACACAAATAATATTTATACAAAAACACACGTGGTAAATAAATCATTCTCACAGTCGATTTATCCACACGCTTAGTACCTTCCAACGGATGCATTCTCACTTCCCGCAAGCCCAACAACTAGCTTAGCAATGTCAAGCCACGTGCAACGGAAACATCACCCACATGTTCCGGAAAACAGCTCTCATTAAGTAAATCATGTGTAGCCAAAACACGCTTTAGATAAAACTGCGTTTTGCGAGGTTTTCCTATATAATAAGTCTCAGTGAGAGCTTGCTTAAATGAGCATTAAGACAGTGCTTACCTCCTATTTACATTTCTGTTAACTTAATCCCACATATTCTTTGGTTCTTTCGGTAAAGTCACGTAGGTATAAAATAAAATACATCACGATGTTTCGATTGCAACACAAGCAATCATCATCAGATGGGAAAACCACAGCAATAATTTTTTTTGCTGAAGTGTATTTTTTCTTGCTGTGGTTTTCCCACCTGATGATGATTGCTTGTGTTGCAATCGAAGCGTCGTGATTTATTTTATTTTATACCCACGTGACTTTACCGAAAGAGTATGGATTCCTGCAGTCACGAAAGCTTCAGAACTAGATTTAATCCCACATATCAAAAATCAAGGTACGGCCCCTGCAGGCTTGCGGTGTAGAGTCCATCTACTCCCTTACGTACTGACCTGCTCACTCAAAGACAAATATCCCCCCTATAGCCTTAATAGACTGTTGGGGCAAGTGCTGTTAGCGAGCACCTATGAAGGCCGGTGGATGGCCTGCCTTTTTCTCCCCAGTGGTGATGTTTACACACTGCACCAGATACTCATTTGAGGCTCAGTCGACCTAGGGGAAGTCCAGGACCAGTTCAGATATTCATCACTGGTGTTGACCCACTCATATTTGTGGTGTCTGGCCCATCTACGTGGAATTTTCTGCTGATCACTTTTGGTATGTATGGATGTATGTTGAACTTCTTTTGCACCGTACGTAGCCAACCATCTTGAGTTGACTCAAGACTGAAATGTTCAGTAAAGCTCACAAAGCATAACCATATAGCCTTCATGATATCATTTGCACTGTAAGAATGGTGCAAATACCAAATATTCTTATTTATTTTACAGGCTTGAGCAAGTTACTGTGAATATTCCACATTCCTATAGTGGGGGCGAGTCTATCCTAAGGGCAGCAATTGTTGATCATTCTCACAAAGTGGTTCCTATTTTAATGTCCCCAGTGGAATGATGGGCTGAAGCAATTTAAGAATCTGGGTTTTCTTTTTTTTTTCCATGCAAATACCTTTATCTTCCTGGAATTTATTCTATATTCCTGGATTCTGTCGCTTGAAACTCAGTTTCAAGGGAAATTAACCCTAATTAGTAAATTTGGCTGTGAGATTGTTCCACTTGCCATTGATCTGAGACAATGGTGCACTAAACACTTGTATGAGTGAACATCTGGCTGTGTCTGGTGGAGGAGGGTCTTACAACATCAATTTAGTAAAATCATTACATAACCTAATCCAATAAAAATATCTATTATGAATGATAATATTGCTGCAAAAACCTATGTGTGAAGTTAATATGACGCTTTTATGATTGTTTTTGTTTTAGAAGTCAATGAGGAAGACGATGACATAATACAGCCGAAGCCAGCTGTTGATGCTGATGTGGAAAAACAAGAAGGAAAAGAAAGTGGTGAAGATGGTAAGTCATGGACGTGTGCACATCATGAACCAAGCAGCTTCTCTTTGACCAGATAGAGGGGGATGAAAAGGCATGGCACGGGCTAGAGTAGATATGGACTGATGTGGTACAGCGAAATAATGGAGCTGAATGGACTTTCTGATGACTGTTACCAGCAGTGTTAGATTGGCCTCTGTGGAGGAAGCTCGTTAAAGATGCTACTGGACAACGAGCAGAGTGTTGGGTGGCTAAAACTCTGCAAATTAGCACAGTGGGTTACACAGGTGGTGCAATCATCTCAGTCCGCCAACCCATTATACCTATCTCGTCTATCTTGTATGTATGTTGCTAATCTTGTGACCTGTCAGCAAGCCTTCCACACTCAATGTTATTGCCTCAAAATGCACCTGGCTTGGCACAAGCACTGTGGTGATGTCACTGCCACTTATAGACAAATGGCGGCTGTTGTTGATATATGTGTAAGTGACACCTAGAAGTACTCCCCATAAAACAGCAGAAGGGCCAAGAAAGGGGTTGCCGACACTGGAGAAGAGGCGAATCAAGGGGGCCCGGCTGGCAACAGGTAAGGCTGAGAGCCCTGATTAGCCGCTCCGACTGCCATTCCGGGATGAGTAAAGGACCAGGGGATTGGCCAGGGAATTCAAAAGGACAAGAGTTAAACATAGGAACGGGAAATAAAGACGTTCAGATGTCGAAAAATAGGTGAAAAGTGAAAGAGGTAAACTTGTGTGGAGTTTAGGGGGGATTCTAGAAGGTTCAAGAAGAGAGTGATTTAATGGTGCATGGCATGATCACGGGGCTGTTGCGGGGATTGCAAAGGGAGATACGTGTGGTGGAACGAAGTGTGGAAGAGTGCACGTGTGGGGTAAAGACTGCTGAATAATAAAGTACCTCTCAAGGATATGATGTGTGGACCTCTTTAACACACGTGTGCATGGTTACGTGTGAGTGTGCATGTCTGTATGGTTGTGTGTGCACATGTATGTGCGACAGGGATGTCCTCTTGCTCCCACATTATTTAACATCTATTTTGACCATGTAGTTCGTGAAGCCTTCAATAGCTGTACCGGAGGAATTTCCATCTGGTACTGATACAATGGGAGGCTGATCGATGCCCGGATGTGGTCAAGGGATGGTTCCCTATTGCTCAACTATGTTATGTATGCCGATGATCTGGTTATTGCTGCTCACTCAGAGGAGGAGTTCGAGGCGCTGCTGCTGAACCTGGAGCTTGCCACGAAGAGGTGGAGCCTTATCATCAGCCCCACCAAAACTAATCACCTGCCTGGGTATTTTGTACCATCGGACACTCCACCCCCACAACTCCCAATTGGTGATGGGGCAGTTGTGCAGAGAGTGGAGAGTTTCCCATACCTGGGCGGTATGCTCATGACCGGCTCCAGTTTGACAGCAGAGGTCTCACTCCGAATCAGTCGAGCAGCATTATCTTTTCATCGGTTGCACTGTGTGGAAGATACCTGGTCTCTTGCTCCGCATGAAGCTTCAGGTGTTCTCGGCCACAGTCATTCTCTCCCTTCTCTATGCTTGAAAAACGTGGACCCCCCTAATTGAGCATCTTCGCTGGTTAGAAACATTTAGGCTGGCTTGCCTACGATCCATCCTGGGTTTAACCAGGCTGGATTATGTGAGGAGTTCACAAATCCTTGAAAGATCTGGACAAAGTCCCATCAGTGAGCTCCTCCTGCAAGTGAGGTTCTGTTGGCTGGTCATGTAGCTCACCTGCGCAGCTACCGCATGCCCAAGCAGCTTCTGTTTGGCCGGATAGATGGGGCTAAACGGGTGTAGGATGGGCTTGAGAAGATATGAACTGATATGGTACAGAAGGATGTGGAGCTGATTAGACTTGGCGATGACTTTTATTTGCAGTGTCAAGATCGGCCTTTGTGCAAGAGGTTTGTGAAGGACGCTGCTGGAGAGTTGGAAGCAGTCGCCCTCCAGCCATAATGAAGGGGAGAGGAGCGTTGCTCATAACATTCAGCAGAGCACCGGGCGGCTTAAAACGTAGGGAATTGGCACAGTGAGGAGCACAGTTTGTGCATCTGCCAATCATCTCAGTCAAACCATGGCATCTGGTTCTGTTCTGTAACCTCCTGCCAGCGGGCCTTAGACACTTCACGTGGCCTCAAAGTGCACCTAGCAAGGCACAAGCGCCGTGGTGACTTAACTGCCATTTCGTGGTAAACAGCGGTTATTATTGTATACGTGTTTTTACGTGTTTGCAATGTATGTGTCAATTGACACCAAGGACACCCTAGCAAATGAGATTTTCTGTCAAAGTAGTTTGCAGGTGAAATACTTTAATTAAAACGAATGTGCGACTTGCAGTACATCCATGCGAGCTCACAGAAGAGGAGAAGGAACAGGTGCTTCACTCTGATGACTTCCTCAACTTCTTTGACCGAACGTCACGTATCATGGAGCGTGCCCTGGCTGAACATCAGGACATATTCTTTGACTACAGTGGCCGTGATAACGAAGAAATGGATGGGTAATATCTAAATTCATATTTTTTTAACACCATTTTTCATCATAAGTGGAATCTTGAGACTGTTTGCTTGTCTGTTTCTGACACCTGTGTTTTGCTTAGATTCATATATGTAGTAGACGTTTACATTTAAAGAAAATTGCAAGTATATAAAGTGTTGTTGACTAACTGGCCATGGCTCAGTGCTATACTGAGCAGCTCTAAATTTGAAGGTTCTTAGTTTGAATCCTGCCTGGTGTGGAATGACTTGCCTGATCGCACTCATGCTAGTGTAGCGATGTCGATGGGCTGTGTACACTTACCTGCAGGGGCAGTCAGGGTCCAGCAGGGGCAATCGTTATATCTCTAGCCCGAAAGCAGGAGGGGGCTGCGGGGTGTCCTGGGATCCCCCGGAGGCCCCTGTGGAACTCTCTGGAAGGTAGGCGGAGCTAGAGCTGAAGCAATGGTGCTGGGTATAAAAGCCGGATCCTTTTATTATTTCCCTTCTACGTGACTTTACCGAAAGAACCAATAAGATGAATCCCTGCAGTCACGAAAGCTTTAAATCGAAAAGTATATAAGAATATGCAAATCCAGATTTGATGCATTAAGCGAAGTTCCCTGAGTTCTGTTCACTGGAATGGTGTTCTAATGTGTTTCCGGAACGTATCGTGGGCCACTCATGAAAACCAGATGTAATATAAGTACTAAAATGTAGTTTTAAATCGAGTGTATGGCGTGGTGTGCACTGCTACACTGGGACTCGTGTGTGTGTGTGTGTGTAGGGAGGTATCGGCAGGTGCCAAGCTCTCCTTGAACAGGCAGTTCTACGACGAACGTTGGTCCAAACGTCGAGTGATCACCAGCCTCGACTGGTCTGCCCAGGTTTGTGGTGCCGTGTTAATACTTAGGTTGTCAAACAGTCACCGATAAACCAGTCGCCGTTTTCAGGATGGATTAACGGTTCCAAATTTCAGGAGCCAGTAATCATTCCCAAGTGAAATTTTAGTAATGCACACACCAAGTGGCTCGCGTGAATATTAAAACGGCACAGCGGCAGGCCTAAGTCACGGCGTAGTATATTTGCCCTCGTTTCTCACAAATCTTTTTTTGTGTCGAGGACAGATATACAGTCTCCAAATTGAATCTGATTGTGTTGTGTTATATGATCCCACAGTACCCCGAGTTGCTCGTTGCAACCTATAATAACAATGAAGATAGTCCCCATGAGCCTGATGGAGTGGCCTTGGTTTGGAACACAAAATTCAAGAAAACTACTCCTGAGTATGTCTTCCATTGCCAGGTGAGTGAAAAGTGTGGTCTGTGTAGATTGTAGTCCAAGCTACCTCACCAATGCCTTAGAACATTATTACTGTTATAGAGAGCACATTAGGCTGAAGTTGAAATCCAGCTGTCATCTCGGTTGGAGCACCCAGTGTTTACATCGCTGCACTTGATAGAATTTAGAGTGAATCAACCAGGGTTATTGATGACCCAGAACTCACTGATTGACTCCGGTCACCACTCACCAGCAGTCGGTCAGTCACCTTATTACGCTTCCATTGCTACTACCATTGTTAATGTTCCCAAGTCTTCAATATGGGTGGAGGAATTAATGAGTGCAGAATTAACATTGAGAAATGCAATGTGGCTGTCTGTTTGAGTGCAGTCAGCTGTGATGTCTGCAAGCTTTGCTCGTTTTCATCCAAATCTGGTGGTTGGTGGCACCTACTCGGGTCAGATTGTGCTTTGGGACAATCGAAGCAATCGCATGACGCCTGTACAGAGGACCCCCCTGTCAGCAGCAGCACATACGGTAAGCCGTAAGACCGTTTTGAATCTAGGGTCTGGCACCTTTTCCACTTTAGACCAAACCTGGATATTTTTCTCATTCAGCCTAGGTCTATCAAATGAGAGTGTATACTGTAATACAGTTTAACAATACCACCAGATAACAATAAAAAAAAATTCTGCCACCCAAACACAGGTGGCAACCTTACTTGACCAATTTAACCATTTCTCTCATTTCTATTTTCAGAATTGTTTTATTTTTTTATGTTTTTGCTTTTGTCATTTTCATGATGCTGGTCACCATTGCAATTCGGACAATCCCAGAGTGAATTGCGACCCACCCACGTGTGTTGTGTCTGCTGCAGTCTAGTGACAACATGTGAAAAACACAAATATTGCACAAAAGGACTGATTGGTTGACTCGGCCAATCATCGCTTCCTCCAGGGTGGCTAAAACAACGACAACGTTGTGAAGAAGATCAATAGCGGAGATTTACCACCGCCATTGTAATGTGGAATTTCCACGATCATTAGTTCAGGGCTGTAAACGGGAGATAGGCACTGCCTCAGTGCTCATTTCAGCAGAAAATTATTTTGATGTTTTCTCTGTTCTGCTAACTCTTGTTTTGTCCGTTGGCTGTCAGCACCCAGTGTATTGCGTGAATGTGGTGGGGACACAGAACGCGCACAATCTCATCAGCGTGTCCACAGACGGACGAATGTGTTCCTGGAGTCTGGACATGTTGTCCCAGCCACAGGTACTTCAAACTTAGCCACGCATTTGTAACCCGTGCTCACGGTGTCTCATCCTTCTGGCCGTAATCCTCACCAAGAACAAAAGGGTGGTTATTGTTACGTGAATTTGTCAAATTTCGGCAGTACTCGTGCATTGTATTCTTGCTGCTGCTCGGCGTCCCTGTTACTCGCGGGCCCCAGCGCTCCTCACTTTTACTCGTTCGCCACCACGCATACACGGAGCCTCCAGGTGATTTTGAAGAACCACAATGGTGCCCGTTTATTCACACTGACTCCCCATCACGTGGGCACACCAACATGCCAGCACACTAACACGCCGACTCGCCAACACTTCGGCACATTGACACCCCAGCACACGTACACGCTAGCACACTAAGATACCAGCACATCAAGACGGCGACTCACAGGCACTCCGGCACACCAGCACACTGACACTCCGGCACAAGAACACGCCGACTCACCGATACACCACCACACTAACGCATGGCACACTAACACATGGCACACTAACACATGGCACACTGACACTCCGGCAGACTGAAACGCTGGCAGACTGACACGCTGGCACACCAGCAGGACCTGCAACGCAACCATCCCAGGCCCTGACTCGGCCCAGGCAGCAGAACACCTTCGGAAAGCGTTTCTTGTGCTCTGATGTGGCAGTCCCGAGTCTACCGACTTGCATCTGGAGGAAGGGGCGGGGCGTAATGTACCGCCCATCTGTCCTCGACCAATCATGGGCCAGCGTTACTCTTCTATTGGACAATTCCAACACTCGTTACTGGCCGGCATCAATATACGCACAAGAGATCATAACCATGACCACACCTGTTACACCTATCCAGTTCTGTAACATATATTTTATGAATGTCTTTACTTTCGCCAAAGTGCACTCTCAAACCACATTTATTTATTTTATTAAACAGAGTTGCTGAGCACAGGTACATCAAGCAGCCAAAACAAACAGCGCTATCAAAACTGTGATTAACAAGAGTTGACATACGTCTAGAATTGAGCAAGGTTATTATTCTTCTTGGTTCTTTCGGTAAAGTCACGTAGAAGGGAAGTAATAAAATAATAAAAATAAAACATAATAAAATAATTCTCACGACGTTTCGGCCACAATGCAAGCAGCCGTCCTCAGGTGAAAACCAGGTCTGTCGAGGCTGCTTGCGTTGTGGCCGAAACGTCGTGAGAATTATTTTATTATGTTTTATTTTTATTATTTTATTACTTCCCTTCTACGTGACTTTACCGAAAGAACCAAGAAGATGAATCCCTGCAGTCACGAAAGCTTTAAATCGAAATTTAAGGTTATTATTATTATATGAGCTCGGTGACAAGAGACGATGGGAGGGAATTCCAGAGTGGAGCAGTGCGAGGGAAGATGGAGAAGGAAAGAGAAGTGTTGTGACCTGCAGTGTTGTGAGTGAGTCTGTTGTTGTGACCTGCAGTGTTGTGAGTGAGTGTGTTGTTGTGACCTGCAGTGTTGTGAGTGAGTGTGTTGTTGTGAGTGGGTGAGTGAGTGTGTTGTTGTGACTTGCAGTGTTGTTGTGACCTGCAGTGTTGTGAGTGAGTCTGTTGTTGTGACCTGCAGTGTTGTTGTGACCTGCAGTGTTGTGAGTGAGTGTTGTTGTGACTTGCAGTGTTGTTGTGACCTGCAGTGTTGTGAGTGAGTCTGTTGTTGTGACCTGCAGTGTTGTGAGTGAGTCGGTGAGTGAGTGTGTTGTTGTGACCTGCAGTGTTGTGAGTGAGTGTTGTTGTGACCTGCAGTGTTATTGTGACCTGCAGTGTTGTGAGTGAGTGTTGTTGTGACCTGCAGTGTTGTGAGTGAGTGGGTGAGTGAGTGTGTTGTTGTGACCTGCAGTGTTGTCAGTGAGTGTTATTGTGACCTACAGGGTTGTGAGTGAGTGTTGTTGTGACCTGCAGTGTTGTGAGTGAGTGTTGTTGTGACCTGCAGTGTTGTGAGTGAGTGTTGTTGTGACCTGCAGTGTTGTTGTGACCTGCAGTGTTGTGAGTGAGTGGGTGAGTGAGTGTGTTGTTGTGACCTGCAGTGTTGATGAGTGAGTCTGTTGTTGTGACCTGCAGTGTTGTTGTGACCTGCAGTGTTGTGAGTGAGTGTTGTTGTGACCTGCAGTGTTATTGTGACCTGCAGTGTTGTGAGTGAGTGTTGTTGTGACCTGCAGTGTTGTTGTGACCTGCAGTGTTGTGAGTGAGTGTTGTTGTGACCTGCAGTGTTGTTGTGACCTGCAGTGTTGTGAGTGAGTGTTGTTGTGACCTGCAGTGTTGTTGTGACCTGCAGTGTTGTGAGTGAGTGTTGTTGTGACCTGCAGTGTTGTGAGTGAGTGTTGTTGTGACCTGCAGTGTTGTGAGTGAGTCTGTTGTAGTGACCTGCAATGTTGTGAGTGAGTGGGTGAGTGAGTGTGTTGTGACCTGCAGTGTTGTGAGTGAGTCTGTTGTTGTGACCTGCAGTGTGGTAAGTCGGTGAGTGAGTAAAGGAGTGAATGGGTGAGTGTATTAGGAAGGGAGTGGTGGGTGAGTGAGTGTGTGTTGTGACCTGCAGTGTGGTGGTAGTGGTTGAACACTGTGTGGTAGATGAGACGAAATAGTCTGTCTGGTAGATTATCCTCAACATGGGTGGCGGAATCAACGGATGGTGCTCACGGAACAGTAAACATACGAGTAGCGATAGAAGAGTGATCATTCATGTCATTGTGGAGAATCTAAGTAACAAAATAAATAAACAGACAATGTGCCGCCACATTCACATATGTCTTCCTCCACACTTCTGCCTTTTTTTCTATTTTGTGTTGTATAATTGTACGTCGAACTCGGACCCCCTAACAGAGAGGGTGCTTGCCAATAAACATATGGCAAGCCAGACTGCTGACAAAAAATGCTCCCTGAAGAAAAGCTGTGTTGACTGATGGAATGTGTAAAAAAAAATACGTGGAAGAACATATGCGAGAAGGAGGCATATCGTCTGCTGATTTGTGATTTTATTTATCTTCACAGCGACGCTAATGAGTTTTGCGTTCTGTGTGTTCGTACGTCTTGGCAACTGAGCACGTTTCCTCCATGTGGTCAAACAGGACAGCATGGAACTCGTGCACAAACAGTCCAAGTCGATCGCAGTCACCTGCATGACCTTTCCTGTCGGTGACGTCAATAACTTTGTGGTGGGCAGTGAAGAGGGTTCGGTATACACTGCCTGCAGGCATGGGAGGTGAGGTTACTGATTGTGAGTTTTATCTGTTTAAATACTTCACTCTAGAAAATCCCTTGGAATGAAATGTCTCGTTTGCACCGGTATACAAGCTGTCAATTGACATGCATAGGAAACATGCAGTTCACATCCACAAACACACGTACGTGGATACATTCGCACATACACAAAGGGAGTGTAATGGAATCTGGCATTTCCATGGTCACTGACTCAGGGCTGTAAACAGGAGATGAGCAGTGCCTCGATGCTCGCTCGAGCGGCACTGTTGTTGTTACACTCTGGCTTAAGAATGTATTTGGCAATGTGCATGTTCCAGCAAAGCAGGGATCAGTGAGGTGTTTGAAGGGCACCAGGGACCAGTGACTGGCATTCACAGCCACTCTGCTGCAGGACCCATTGACTTCTCTCACCTCTTTCTCACCTCTTCGTTTGACTGGACAATCAAGCTCTGGACCACGAAGGTCTGTTACCCGCCTACTCACTCTCCCACCCACTAAACTCACCCACTCATCAACTCACTCACTCACTCACCCACTTACCCACCCATTCACTCACCCATTAAAATACTCAGCCATTTACCTACCCACCCACTCACCCACTTGGTCACTTATCTATTCACTCACCTCCTAACTCTCGTTTGTTGTCCTTCCCCCGCACCTCCAATTAGCACGGTTGGCTACGTACAATGTGAAAGAAGTTCAACATACTGTACATACAACAACAAGAACAACTGCCGCTCCCCACTTAAATGGCGGTGACGTCACCACCGAGCTTGTGTCAAGTCAGGTGCACTGCAAGGCCACGTGAAGTGCCGAAAGCTCACTGACAGGAGGTCATGGGACAGACCCAGGTGCTATTGGTTATTGACTGAGGTGACTGGCAGATTTACCAGCTACAGTATGCGTTTTACTGTGCCAACTTTCTGCATTTTAACTGCTCGGCACTCAGCTCGTTGTTGTGAGCGTCTCTCCTCTGCCCTCCATTGTTGTTGGAGAGCGACTGCCTCCAACTGCCCAGTAAATAATGTGGTTGCCAGAGGACATCCCTGTTGCACAGCAAGATGATAAGAGAATGGCTCCGACTCCTGGCCATGTAGCTTTACCCGGGTCTGCCCACGGTGAAGGTGGTCTATGAGCAGAGAGTCAGGGACTCCGAAAGCACAAAGAACAACCCAGTGCCCTGGCCTATTGATGGTATCATAGGCCTTGACCAGGTCAATAAAGCAGAGATGTATATCCTGTTGGAATTCCTTGCACCTCTGCTCTCGCAGATGGACAGAGAATATGGCATTTGTGCAGGAACGCCCTGGCTTGAGACCACATTGAAGCTCCGAAAGTTACTCCTCAGCATGCCTGGCAAGAAGTTAAATAATCTTTGCCAGGACCTTTCCCAGCACACTGAGGAGGGAGATACCCGTTAGTTGTTACAATCTGCGCAGGTCCCCGTTAAAGAGGGGGACTACTAGGGCGTCATTTAAATCCTGCAGAAGTTGTCCTGTGGTCCATACAGTTGTGATGATGTCATGTAGGGCAGTCTGCACACAGACACCACCCTCCCTCAGCAGTTTCCTTTGGGCTGAGGGAAATCCCCTCCCCAAGACATCATAGAAATACTCTGCAAACCAGCAGATCTGTTCCTGGGGGTCGGAGATCGGATCACCGTTATTTGCCTTATGGATGGTGATAGATAAAGCGCTGCAAGTTATTTTCTGATGGGATTAAACAGTGATTGCAGACTACTGAGGCAGATTCCATCTCCTCGGCACTCATTCTTGCAGTGCCGCACTGCTCTCCGAACCTCTGAGCCTCCTTATTCTCCAACGTTGGATGTTGTAGACGACGGGAGTGGGTCTGTCATTTTCTCTCAGCCAGCTGGAAACACCTCTTTCAGCCAGGGTCTCTGGGGAGGTTTGGAGTGGATATCCTATGCAGTCATTGCAGCTGCATGAGCCGCAATCCTGATACTCACCCATTTTCCCTCAGCATCAGGAGGGCGGAGAGATGTCAACTCCAGCTGCAAGCGATGTTGAAATTCCTAACTTGCAACTCGTCAGCTAGTTGAGACCATTCTATTGTGTATTTGAATGGGGTCAGAGGTGGGCACCCACCTCCGGAGTGGAAGAATGGCAGGTGCATCTTGCAGATGACAAGTCAATGGTCAGTGGACAGATCAGCTCCACAGAAGGTCCTGGTGTTAAGGACATGGGCCCACATCTGCTGTTCCATCAATATATAGTCCAGCATATGTTCTAGTTTGGATGCGGCATGCATCTATTATGTGTGGATGCGCCAGTATCGGAAAAGCATGTTGGTAATTACATGCCCATGGGTTGCACAGAGGTGTAGCTGCCGCCTACCGTCATGTCTTCTAATCACTCTGCTCCAGGTGTCTGCGTCATGACCCACTCGGGCATTAAAGTCACCCAACAGGATCACTATCCCGAAGGGTCACTTTAGCTCGCACCTAAAGGTGCATTGAAAATGTTGTATACTCCTACTGATACTCCTGCTGTTATGGAGTGACTCATGCAGCCAGCTATGGCTGCAAAGTTTGGTAGTACATGAGAATAGGTTTTCCCCTTTTTTCTGGTAACAAACAGGTGTTAAGATGTTAAAACACTAAACTGAAACCTTTTACAAGGAATCATGTCTGCATTAACCACAATACTTGTGGTCACAATGAAAACAAACAAAACATACTCTGATAATATATACATTGTCTTTGAAACTGATTGATTCACACCAGAGACAGCCTTCTTTGGAGCCTCGTCTCAAAAGGTGTTCGACCAGAGGACGCCAAAAGGCGTACATGTTATGTATATCGTTTATTGTAAAATTTTAATCACAGTTCCTATGATCACTGTTACATTGCTTTTATAGCTTTATTTTGGTGATTTTGAAAAGTTTTGGTTTAGCCATATTTGTTTGTTGTAGTACAGAATTAGACTGATAACTTTAATCTAAATTGTCTTATGGTTGTTATTGTTTGACTTGCATCCCACTGGGATTTTTGCACACAGCATTGATATATGGTGCTTTTTCTGGAAGACTTTGCTGTTTTTTCCTGGATTTTTCTGTTTGCGCATAGTCACTTTAAGATGTTTCTTGTTCATGTTTTTGTTTGTTGCGGTTGCACCCGATTCAAGAGCCGAATGGTTCACAGGGCTATCTCCATTAATATAAAAGGCATAGTTGTGATTATGTGTGTCTGTTCAAAATGTTTAGCGTACTTCCCGACATGTAACAAACTTAAAATTTGCCATGTGGGTACTTTCCAGACTGTACACCATGCAAAAATTAAACAAATACACTTGGGCAAGTGAGCTGTGACGTCAAATCTGTCATGTGACTCGCGCATGTAGAAGCGTAACGCATGTGTAGTGTAGCGGGTAGCGCGCTGCGCTACGAACCCGGCAACCCGAGTTTGATTCCCGCTCATGGCCACCACCGGTGACGATTATTTTAACTGGTCCTGGGCCTCCCCTAGGTCGACTCAGCCTCAAACAATTAACTGGTGTGGTGTGTGAACATCGCCACTGGGGAGACAAAGGCGGCCGGGGTGAATCCAAGTCCCGGGCAAAGCTGGGTAGTCAAGCTAGTACCAAATAAATGAAACTGAAAAACTTAAACTCACCGACTCACACTCATTCACCCACCCAGTTGCGCACCCACTCTCTCACTGACCCACTTACCCACACAGTTATCCACTCACTCACTCACCCACTCTTTTATCGCTACTACCATGGTTACTGTTCCCGTGAACGTCACTTGTTGATTCCTCCAGTCCCAGAGGCTTTCTAAGAATAAGCACAGAAAGTAAGGGCACCTGTCTCAAACATGGAAAATGTTCAGATCTTAGTATTTTGTGCTTTTCTCTGGTGCAGAACAACAAGCCACTCTATTCTTTCGAGGACAACTCGGACTACGTGTACGACGTGACGTGGTCTCCGGTCCACCCGTCGCTCTTTGCGTCTGTAGATGGAATGGGGCGGCTCGATCTGTGGAACCTGAACAGTGACACGGAGGTGAGGACGAGATTACTCAACTAGAACTAAACTATTTTTTTATTTTAACAGTTAAGGTCCACTGAGCTACATAGCTCTTTTTCAGAAGTGACCTGGCCACAAATGATAGCTCAACGAAGTGGCTTATCATGTGGAAATTTATTTAAAAAAAAACAACTAGTTGTAACACATGTTGATTCTAAATGTGGAGGGAAAACCGGAGAACCTGAAAAAATTCCACATGACCAAATATACAGGTGTCAGGGTCGGGATCGAATCCACGATCTCTTGCATACCAGGCAAGGTAGTTAACATCTCGCCACTATGGCACCCAAGTGAATACCCAGGTGGAGTGAGCCAAGCTTTTAGTGTAATTATACATTTCTCAAAAAAGTACCCGTTGCAGCCTTGGGGGAAAAAAATGTGGTCGGGCCTGGTGCTGGCCACTCCATCCCCTTGTGTGCCGTGCCTGCCTTCATAGGTGCTCGCTCATGACACTTGCCCCAACAGCCTGTTAAGGCTATACGGGGTGTCTTTGTAATGGTATATGAATACATACAAATCCACCCTGTAAAACTTGTCAGTTTTTGTTCCACGTTATTTGTTAGAACAACAAATACAACAATTGATATTTACGCGATCTAACCCAAAAACCTCTGTTATGGATGATATTAGTATTGAAAGCCTATGCGTTAAACGTATTAACGTATGTAGTAAACCCCAGCTAGCTGGACCCCCAGCTCGTCATTTAGCCAAACCAGTTCAGCTAAATTCACTCCCAGAAGGTCATGTGACTCATGGGATGTGTAAAACATACTTTTATGAGGAGGGACAGATGTCAGATAGAGCCTTGTTGTTAACTTATTTATTTTCAACTCTAGTTGGAAATTATTACAATGTGATCCTTATCCAACAACTCATGCACATCTTCCATAGCCTAAATGCGTGTGGTTTATTGCAGGTTCCTGCCGCTAGCGTTACGATCGATGGCTGCCCAGCTCTGAACCGCGTCCGTTGGACTCACTCTGGTCGTGAGTTGGCGGTGGGTGACTCTGAAGGCCACTTGTGGATTTACGAAATAGGCGAGGTAAGAATGTGGAAGTCATGGTGTATTCTCGAGCACATCGTTTATTTATATTATTAATGAAAATATTTTACTGAGATTATTCCTTGAGATAGAACATCTTGTTTGCAATTGTGTCCAGGGTGTCAGTTGACATGCACACAGCAAACACGCAATGACACAGTTAGAAAAATACACTCTCACACACACATAGACACTCAAATATAAACAGACAAAGATCCCTCGTAGAACTTTTAACAGGCTGTTTGGGCAAGTGCCGTTAGTGAGCACCTATGAAGGCCAACATGGCACATGGGGGTGAGTGGCCAGCACCACACCCAGCTGCCTTTTTCTCCCCAATGCTAAAGTTTACTCACCACACCAGGTAAGGCCAAGTCAACCTAGGGGAAACCCAAGATAAATTCAGATAGTCATCACCGATATTGGCTCTGAGCGGATATCAAATACGGGTCGCTTGGTTCATAAAGCGTGTTCTAATGTATATATGTATGCTGAACTTCTTTCGTACCATATATAGCTAACCGTGCTAATTGGAGGTACAGGTGAAGGACAACAGACCACTACATAACTGCTCCCCTTGTCTGAAACATCACCTATTATCATGCAGCATTCCCTCGTCATTCACGAGGGATATGTTCCAGAGATGCTCGTGAATATCACGTTTTTTAATGACTTACCTTAAATGAATCCATGAATACATGAAAATTATAATAACACCAAAAAATGGTTATAAGAAACAAAGTAAATAAATATATAAAAGTATTAAACAATAGTTTATAAATGAACCTACCTTAAATGAAGATGACGCTGCACAGTATAATGATGCCCGAACGATGATGCTGACAACGATGATTAAGGTGATCGTTGCAATGCCCCTACTCTCTCATCATCACTTTAGCTCATCACTTTCTTTTCTCTCGCGCTCTCGCTCTCGATACAGTTGTGTAGAGGCCCAGATGAGATTCGCAGATAGCCATAATCGCAGATAGCAAGTTCGTGAACAACGTGGGAATACTTAATATGAAATATTGTTATTTTATTTTATCGTGTTGATTTTTGTCATTTGTGCACCACTGCTAACGCAGTATCACCGAATAATTGAATTTTACTTGAAGACTTTTCTTGAATTAAGCCAATGTTGCTGAAAAAATCCCAGAAGCCCATGTGGCTGATGGGATGTATAACACAAATCTATACTTTTGTTTGTTTTATGTTGAGAGACAGATATGGGAACGGGGCATATTGTTTGCTTATGTATTGTGTTATTTCACTTGATGGTTTTGTCTATTGTCCTTTGCAGCAATTGGCACTGCCACGCAACGATGAGTGGACGTCCTTCGCTAGGACTCTTGTGGAAATCCGAGCCAACAGGGCAGATGCTGAAGAGGAATCGTCCCGTATCTAAGATCCAGCTTTTCCAGTGTGCCGGTGTTCCCAAGGCATAACAGCTGCTTGTAGCTGATAACTGTATATGTAGGTTATACTCCGTGCAGAGTTAGTGAAGACATGTGCTTCTGCCACAGCTGCTGTCTGCTACAGAACTTGCCTTATGACTCAAAATAACAATACATGCCTATCCCTCCACATAAAAATATGAAAGTATGTTTTAGACATTGCATCAGCAACACAGCTTACTGGGAGTAAATTCATGGAAACTCTATTTCGGTTTTTGACAGTTGGCGTCTCATCAGTAGTTCGGCTTGCTTGAACAAATGGTGGTGACCTTCTGTATTTTACATATGGATCCTAGTTTGATACAAAACTTTATAATACATAACACAAAACCATCATAAGTGTCGTTGAGGAGAATATTATGACATCTATATATATGTCTTGCCTGTACACATCTGGAAGTTCACCGGTATTGGTTGAAGTAAGCCATAACTACTGATTAGACGATGCATATTGAAACTGGTCCAGAATTTTCTGGTGTTAAACCAATGTTGCTTTTTTTTTATCCCAAAAGGCTGCGTGCCTGATGAGATATTTAAAACAATATTAGTATTTTCTGTGCAGGAACAATAATGTGAAATGAGGCGCATTGTCTGCTTGTTTATTTTGTTACTTATAATCTCCAATGACACTAATCATGTTGTCATAAGCAGCATTCTAACCAGTAGTATTTACTGTATGGCTTTTCTTTCGCTTTGGATGTTAGCATTACGATGCATTTAGGGATTCTATACTAATATATTAAAAGTCAACACAACACTGAAAAATAAGTTTTGCATGAATGCCATTATTTAACAATACACTGCAACCTCTGCTGAAATTGATGTTTAAACTGCTACACTACATTGTGTTATTATACACAGGGGTCAGCAACCTGCGGCTCCAAAGCCGCATGCGGCTCTTTAATGACTGCTTTGTGACGTTCTTTATTAACGACTGTCTCTTATTTACTTGCATTGCGGCTCTTGAAATATTGAGTTTATTACAGAATTCGAAAACAATGGCTCTTGTTATTTTGGTTACTGACCCCTGTTATACACCCTTATATGCTGCCTGTAAAGATGAAATAGACCTAAAGAACATTACCTATCTAATGAATGGGATATTATGGTAATTGGAATGCTATCTTTATTTATGTAATATTCTAACTTATTCGTATTTATTGATAAATATGGTTTTCAGAATTAGGTTTATTCATTACCGTAAGTGAATATTGCATTTATTTTAAACAATCGAGCACAGGCCCAAAAGCCCAATACGTCAAGCAGCCAGCAATACACAAATTTGAGTTGTAGATCAGAGTAAACGTGTTTCCTGAATTGAGCTTGAGATGGAATTCCAGAGTGGAACAGTGAGATGAAATAGAAGTGTTGTGACCTGCAGAATGGTGAGTGTGTGGGTGAGTGTGGAAGCGGTAGTGTAGCGGTTAGCGCGCTGTGCTATGAACCTGGCGACCCGGGTTCGATTCCCGCTCACGGCCAACACCAGTGACGATTATCTGAACCGGTCCTGGGCCTCCCCTAGGTCGACTCATCCTCAAATGAGTACCTGGTGTGATGTGTAAACATCGCCGCTAGGGAGACGAAGGCGGCTAGGCTTGGTTCTGGCCACCCACCCCCTCGTGTGTGCCGTGCCGGCCTTTATAGGTGCTCACTAACAGCACTTGCCCCTACAGTCTGTCAAGGCTATACGGGGGGATCTTTGTCTTTATGGGAGAGTGGGTGGTGGAACACAGTATGGATGAACAAATGCATAGGTGAGTGGGTTGCTTAGAGTTATTAAGTGGGTAGGTGAGGAAATGTGAATGTGGTGAGTGGGTGTGTGAATGAGGGGGTGGGTGAGTTTTTAAGTTCTGACCTGTAGTTACAAATTACCACGCACATCACCCAACATTCTTATTAGGTATTCCTCAGTTGTATGGGTTTATATTGTTGCCATTTGATTTGATTTCAGCAACAAAACAATATGTGTCAGTGTATAAGAAAATTGGATGTTGGTGTGTAAGAAAAACACGATCAACTCAACAAAACAGAATAAAGAAAGGTCCAAAACGTAAAGCGACCAGCAATAAATGACACGATCGAAGTTGTGATGTTTATGTCCAATGGTGAGTTTATTTAGTAGCTATGTTTTGTGTGTACAATCTTATATTTATATAGGGTTGGCTGAGCTACTAAGCAAGGTGAAGGGAAGGAGCTCTACTGAGGAGAGAGACTGCGGGAAAAGGTTCCAAGAGGGACGATGCAAAACGAGGCAGGGGTTTCTGGTTAGAGGTGGGGTCGAGGTGCTGTGGATCTGCTAGAAAAAGGGGCCCGGTGCTGCTGGGACTGGCCAACATGATCACCTGTATAATGGAGGTTTTTGGGTTAGATCGCGTAACCCAAAAACCTCTTATGGATGATATTGGTCGCCAAAGCCTACGTGTTAAAATCATCACCTGTATGCATTGCTTATAAGGAATGTTGGTCATCGTGAATCCGCTCCATCACAACCCCCATCGCTGCCCACTCACTTTCTCACTCAAATTAACTGTGATTCATTTGAGCGATTTAGGGGTGGGCCCTAAAGTGGCATGAGACCTAAAGAGGGAGTGGGTAGGACATAGACATGAAGGGGTAGGGGTCATACAGATAAAGGGCATGGCCTAGACAGGAGGAGTGGAGGCTAAAAAGGCAGCCCAAATGAGGGGCCAGGTTTAATTCGAGGTTTCTTTGGACTTCCTCTTTAGGCCCCACGCCTTCATCGTAGAGGAGATCTTCACCCATGAACCTCCCTGTTTTGAGGTAATTTAGCACAGGATCAAATAAGTGCAGCAGGCAGAAAACGTTTAATTCTGCAGATGTAACCACAAGCCTAGTCCTATTATCGTTCCCTGTCTAGGTGCACTGCTTGCGCTAAAATATACCCTAGAAACTGTTCCTGCCTGGTTAGTTACTGTGTACAATATAGGGCGCTGCGGTGGCGAGATGTTAACGACCGCTCTGTTATTGTGTTCCTTGTAAAGCAACAGCTGTAGTTGATCATTTATCCATAAGAGGACATAACGTGACTTGTATAAAACTGATAGTGCACATAAATCCATCACAACTCCATAACCCTGACCCTTACCTGTAAATACCTGAACCCTGTAGCTCTAACCTATAGCCCTAACCCTATAGCTCTTACGTATGTATGTTGAATTATCGCACCATACATAACCAACCGTGCTAATCAGAGGTGACCATATACAGCCCTGAACCTAACCTGTAATGCACATATAGCCAACTCAACTCTATAGCCCTTATCCTATAACCCTAACCCCCCATCCACAACCCAAACCTTAACCCCTGGCTCTAACCCTAAACTCTAACCATAACCCATAATTAGGGCTACAGGAGTCCCAATTACATTTTCGGGAGTCCTAATTCCATAGCATTGGAATTCAGGCTCCAGAATGTGGCATTCAGATTCCCAGAAGTAGAATTGGCACTCCTGAGTGTGGTCTTGGGACTCCCTGCAATGGAATATTAGGCTCCTTAAGTTTGCAAGTGAGATGCCTCAAAAAGCACCTCCGATTATAACACTGTAACAATAAATATTTGTTTTTGTTCCTGGGTAGTGTTATTTTCTAATTGCTTATGCCTCAAACGTACAGAAAATGGCTATTATTCCCCACAAACTTTGCTTTTGTGACCAGGAGTGTCATATTTTGAAATGTACTTATTTTTAATGAGAAAACGTGTGCATTTGTGTCATTCCTTCACATAGAGTCATGGTCACAAAAGCAACGTTTGTGGGGAATAATAGCCATTTTCTATACTTTTCAGGCATAAGCAATTAGAAAATAACACTTACTACCCAGGAACAAAAATCGTGTTACATAGTGAATTATCAGAGTTGGCTACGTATGGTGCAAAAGGAGTTCAACATATAAACAACATGCTATGTAAAAATATGTTCAAGGACGCCCCGGACCGACACCGGAACACCCCCGGACCACCGTACCCACAGGACCCATCCCGGACCTTGTCTGGAAAATCGCCGGACCCCCGAAGGACCCTCTAAGCATCCACCCTGGACTCTATACCCATCTTGGACCGCCCCCCCTGGACACCCCAGAAGCCCCCCTCCCCGGGGCCTACCCAAGACATCGCCGGACCCCTTCTCCCCTAAACCCGCGGACCCACCCCAGCACGACCCGGACCCTCCCCTAACACCAAAATCGTTATCGTGAGCCCGGCTTTCCAGCTTTAAAAAAATACGTCTTCTATAATTGTACAGGACCGAGAGGTGATAACGGCTTGGGGAACCCTTTATTCAGCAGTCTATAGATCATGACTGCCAATGGTGAGCGTACAGGTGCGAGTGACACGTTCAGGTCGAGTGATGTTATTGTTTTTATGTTGATTGCGTGAATATTATCTCAGCCACCAGGTGGCTCAGGGAAAAAGCGAACGGCTCTGTCGGAAGGATGCGAGTTCAAACCTTGGCTGTTACATCAGATTAAACGAATCAATGCGAGGCTGTACCGCCACTTGGTGGTCACATCTCGATCTTGACTTAAAGCTTTCGTGACTGCAGGAATTCATATTTTTGGGGTCTTTCGGTAAAGCCACATAGAAAAAAATAACAAAAATTTAAATCACGATCACAACACAGGTAATCATCTTCACCTGAAGACAATGGCTTGTGTTGCGATCGAAACGTCGTGATTTTTACTTTTGTTATGTTTTCAATCTACGTGGCTTTACCGAAAGACCCAAAGAATATGGTCATATCTAGCTTATACAAGTTTGTGTGTAACAATGAAGATACAAGTACGATTACAACCATACTATTTTGTTCTTTCAGTAAAGTCACGTAGGTAGAAAAATAAAATAAAATATGAAATAATATATCACGACGTTTCGATCGCCAACGCAAGCGATTCTCCTCAGGCGGAAAAAATAATCCAGCAGTGGAACTGCTGAACCAGGAAGAAACACAGCGAGTGAGCTGTTACAACACGAGGTTATATATGTTGGCCAAGGGCAAGCAGGCGGGGTCCGAGCTGGAAAGGAATTCCATCCCCGCACGCAAGCAGGTCAGTTCTGTTAATGGGAGAGATTAGGGAGATTAGCAAGTTAATGTCACGTCTATGTGTAACACAAGCTGCGGCGCTGCCAACTGCGCTGTGAGGAGCAAGCGCGTCAACGCAAGAGAACCACCGCAACGGTGGTCGCGCCAGGGAGACACTCAGCCATCACACAGCCAGAACCATCGATACATCGAGGCTAAGGGAGCAGAGGTGGCCATGTTAGTGAGACCCCAGCCCGTTAATGCAGAGGTACCCAACAGGGAAATGCAACTTAGAGAGTCGGAGATAACAGCCAAACGGCAGGAAGGATGGAAGCACCACAGCAAGTTACAACTTTGCTTAGTTATAACGTCCTTCCAATGATTGCTCAGCTTATACCCATCTTCTCGGTTGCAATTGTCTCTGTGTTTATATATCTGGATGGCTGCATGGACAAATATTTGATGGTAGCCCGACGGTTTGCAGAGTACCTTGGTCTCGGGAAAAAAACAATATCGTGCGAGCCCACTGCATTATAACAATGATCAGCCACGGCAGAGATATTGGTTCTCCCGTGTTTCAAATCTGCCTTGTATTCGCGAACACGGTCTGAGACGTGTCGTTTCGTTTCCGCAATGTAACTGCTACCACAGACACAACTTAGTTTGTAGACACCAGGGTATTGCATGTCTGATATGACATCCTTCACAGATGGGATCAAATCACGAATTTTGTGTATTGAATCGGACCTGGATCTTGTGCTTGTTTAAGATTTGGGAAATATTTTTGGTAACACCTGCTATGTATGGCAAGGTGATGGTTTTGATTGGGTCCTCAGATGGTTTTCTCCCCATGGTTGGGGATACAGCTTTGCGGATTGTGTGGTCTGACTATCCATTCATCTTGAGGGCTTGATGTATGTGCTCTAGTTCACTGGCTAGGTGGCGCTGGTCAGAGATACAGCGGGCCCTATGGGGTAGTGTTTTGATGAGGGAATGCTTCTGGGCTGGATGGTGGTGGGAATCAGGCTTTAGATAGGAATCCGTGTGGGTGGCTTTCCTGTAGATGGAATGTCCCAACGAGCCATCAGGCCTCTTCTCAATCGAAACATCCAGGAATGGTAGCTTGCCATCATTTTCCACTTCCATGGTGAATTTGATGGATGGGTGTATGGAATTGATGTGGTTGAAAAATTGGTTCAGTGCTGGCTGGCCATGTGGCCAGATGAAGAAAGTGTCATCTACGTATTTCTTCCACAGGGAAGGATGTAGGGTGGATGTCAGGATGGCATCTGTTTCAAATTTCTCCATGAAAACATTCGCTACCACTGGTGATAAGGGAGAACCCATAAGGGTACCTTCATTTTGTTTGTAGAATGTACCATTCCAGATTAAGTAAGTGCTGGTAAGGGCAGTGCCTCACTAAAGTTGGTACATCAGGATTCAGTCACTGTTGGACCAAGTCTTCAATGATTGCTATGGTGTCAGGTACAGGCACCTTGGTGAACAGAGAGACTACATCGAAACTGACAAGCAAATCATCTGGAGACAGTGAAATGTCCTTGATTATAGAAACCAAGTGAGCTGAGTTAAGTACAGCTGAGGTGGTCTTGTCCCTGAATGGAAGCAGGTTCTGAGACAGAAATCGGGCCAGTTTGTAGGTAGGTGAGTTGATGGTGGATACGATAGGACGGAGTGGAGTACGTTCTTTATGGATTTTTGGAAGGCCATAATATCTGGGTAGTCTAGCAGCCAAAGGTTTTAAAGAGAGCTGCTTAGTCGGTTCGATTAGTGATATTGTTGTTTTTGTAGCCAGGCGGTTGGTGGGATCTTTGTTGATTTTGGTATAACGGCCATCATTAAGAAGGTCCTGGATTTTGTTGTTGTATGTGGTTTTATCCATGATGACTGTGGCATTGCCCTTGTCGGCTGAGAGGATGACAATGTTATCTCTATTTTTCAATTCGGTGAGTTCAGAGCGCTCGTCCCTGCTGATGTTACGAATGGGTTTCTTGGCGTTTATTGAGGATGGCGGCGATTTCAGATCTTGCCATTGGC